TATCTTTTATCTTCAATAATCAAAGGATATGCTTTTTGAAGCTAAGGTGGCTCAATCTCTTAAAACGCCTTTAGAAACAAAGTCAGATGGGGAGAAGTGAGAATACATGGGGGATTAAAAAGTAACAGCCCAGCATCTGTAGCTTTGTCGAAGACTCAGGTGGAAACTGGGCTTGCCCTGTTATCAAGGGACACAATATATTCAAGCTATCGGGCCTACGTGTGACCCTCCAACCCTGCCTCACATTCACATAACAAAAATTATAAAAAGAAAATACATTTAAAATGTAAAGACCATATGCTTTGGAGTCACACCTGACTCATCACTCCGTGGGTCTGTGACTCCCTCTTGCTAAGCCTCACTTTCCTCACGTGTAGACCCACTATCCCACAGGATGACCATGAGGAAGAAGTAGGAAAAGCACCTCGGCAGCACTTGACACAGGGGAGGTGCTCAGTACAAGAGTTTCCCCAGGGTAACACATTGGATTGTGGTAGCGCTTGAGTAGGAAGCTCCTGGCCCTCATTCCATTCCCTTTTCACCATACTCTGTTGCTAGCTCGCCTGGCTGGTCTGTGATGGGGGGCGATTAGACACCAGGGGACTTAGCTCAGCCTGGGTTCTTGCCACTGTGCAAGAACACCATAATGGATCAGAATTCATTTATCAATTAGGGAAAATGGCACCAAAAGATAAAATCATATTGGTTGGGAGATCAGGAAAAATCTCTTTGGACCCTACTCCAATGCGATTCATGACCAGCTCAGCCCCCAGCGTCTCTCCACGGGTACATTCTCTGACTGCTGTGGGCCCTGACCCAGAACCCTTTCCAGAGCCGTACATCTGGTAACCCCGGTGCCGGACTGGGCAGGATGCTGTGGGTGCATTAATGTTGCTGTGGCAGCCCTCCACCACAAGATGGCACACAACTCTCTTCTTTCAGAAGAGAAAGGCTAGCAAAGCAGTGGAAGTCTGAAACCAGGCATATTTCAAATCAGATGAAAATGCATTCATTTTAAAAAGTTGCCTCCCTCACCCTTAAAATAGTAAGGACAAACCAAAGAGTATGAAAGGAGTTCTGATAAGGCATGAAAGATGATGGGAGAAGGGGAGACTGCAGTGGGAGACCCAGGAGGGTTGCTTAGAAGCTGAAGGACTTGCCTTCTTGGTGTCTGTACTTGGTCTTGTCACCTCCCTTTTTGTCCATATTCTTGTCGAGCTCATAACTCCAAAATGGGCTATACTTGGGGTCTCCATCCTTGATCGAGGGTCTATTTGAGCCTTGACTAGACTTTAAAAATCCTGGATTCCTCTTCTACTCATACGAAGATGCAAGTGTGTTTCTTATTTCTTTTCCCATAATGACAAGGGCATGTTTTTCACATTTGCCCCCATGTTCTCTGCTGCTGCATACCTTTCACTTCAGACATTGTGCACTGTCGTTGTTATGCCGATACAGGGTTATGGGAGCCGATTTTAATCTCCAGCTCACCTTGGATACATCTGGCCCGGGCTGCAGTGGTCCCTCCTATCCTCCAAGCCACGGCTGTATGTCGCCCTCTGCTGGTAGGGCGATCATCTTCTTTCCACGTCCTTCCTCCTCTCACAGCTTGTGAGAGGCATGTATGGAACCTAAAGCATTGTCCTACCTCCTCAGTAGCTCATACATCTCACTTAGCAAGCAAGAGAGTATTTTGATTGCTTAAAGTAATTCAAAGACCTGAACTTAAATCTGGTATCATCATCCCTCCTATTACATTTTGAGGAAACGTGCTATAGGCACATAGACAAATAATTGCAATGTAAACAGGAGGGGTGGAGAGGGTAGGTGAGAGATGGTTCCCAAAGACCGAGCAGGAGTAGCTAAGTCTAGATGGGTGGAGGAGTGGGGCTGGGATGACGATAGACACTCTCCTTGGACAGCACTGCCTGACGGGCGGGAGGAAGGCACAGCAAAGCACAAGCAACACCCACAGGCAGTCCTGTCATGCTGGAGAGTGAAATGCATTGAAAAACAGCTGCTGCCATAGGCAGTTGCTAGATAGAGGGGCCTGTGTGCCATGTTAAAAGGCTGGGGTTCTGCCTCTAAGTGATGGACTGAACCACTACAGAGTTTGATGAAGGCGGTTCATATTTTAAATAGATTGCTCCACCCTTAAGGTGGAGGACAGATTTAGGAAGGATTTCCCTGTGTGGAGGGAAACCAGTTCAGATGCTATGGCAGTAATTTAGGCAGGAGATTATGGTGCCCTGAACCAGGACGGTGGTAAAAGGTATAGAGGTGAGCATTTAGGCCCACTCAAGAGGACCCCATCAACCAACTGAACGTGTGTGATCAAGGGTGATTCCTAAGTTTCTAGCTTATAGGAGGAAGAGTTGATCTAGAAGCAAGGTGATAAAGGTTTCGTGCACATTGATTCTGAAGTGCTCAGAGGACATTTGGGTGAGATGACCGCAGGCTGGTGGATAGACGTAGCCAAAGCTTGAGGGAGGGCCTAGGCTAGCGATACTGATTTGGGAGACAGCAACAGGTAAGTGCAGTTAAAACCAGGAGAGTGGATGAGATTGTTCTGGAATAGAGTGAAGAGGAAGAAAAGCAGCGGGTCAAGGAGTGGGTCAGTGTCAATCCCTTAACATCAATATTTAAGGGATAAGGAGCAGAAGACAACTATTGGAAAGAGAAGTCCACAAAGGAGACAGAGAAGGGATATTGGTCAGAGAGGCGTAAGGATGAGCAGAAAAGTGCACTGCCATAGACACCAAATGATTAGAGACCACCCCCCGCCCCCAAGGAGGGAGGATACAATGGTTTCAGAAGCAGCAGAAAGGCCCATACAGACTGCAAACTCTCCCCAGTATCTGGCAATGGGGAGGTTGCAGAAGTCACATGGCAGGGGACTGGGGAATGAATGGAAGGGGAGGATGTGGAGATGGTGAGGGCAGGTTACCTTCTGGATGGTCCTGGGTGAGAAGAGGAGGAGAGAGATGGGGTGATGGCCCATGGGCTGGGGACCCAGCAGGGCTGAACTGGATATAGGGTAAAGGAAGCTTTGGGATTTTGTTTGTTTGTTTTTTAAGTACGTATACTTCTAAAAAGTTTTTGTAGATTTAAAGAAAGTTGCAAAAACAGTACAGAGAGGTCCCATGTATCCATCATCCAGCTTCCCCCAGTAGTAACGTCTTACATTTCTGTAGTATATATTTTCAAAGCCAGGACATTGACATTGTTACAGGCTACAGACCTTATTCAAATTTCAACAGTTTATGCATGAACTCATACGTGTGTGTATGAATAGTTCTACACAACTTTATCATCTGCATGGATTTGTGTAACCACCACCACAGTTAAATGCAGAACTGTTCCATCACCAGAAAGAGCTCCCTCATGCCCCAACCCTTGGCGACATGCATCTGTTCACCATCCCTATAATTCTGTCATTTTGAAAACATTATACAAATGGTACCATATAGTGTGTAACATTTAAGCCTGGCTTTTTTTCATTCAGTTTTTTCCCCACGACATCAGCATTGCTGGAAGTATCAAGAGCTTGTTTCTCTTTATTACTGAGGAATATTCCATCATATGGATATACCACAGTTAGTTTAGCCATTCACTCCCTGAAACACATTAGGGTTGTTTCCAGTTTGGAGCTATTAGAAATAAAGCTTCAATGAACATCATGTAGACATTTTTGTGACATGAGTTCACATTTCTCTGGCATATATGCCTAGGAATGCAACTGCTATATCACCTGGTAAGCATATGTTTCATTTTCTAAGAAACTACCAAACTATTTTCCAGAAGACTGTACCATTTTGCATTTCCAACAGCAATTTACAAGAGATCCAGTTTTTCCATATTCTCACCAGCGTTTGGTATTGTCACTATTTTTTATTTGAGCTGTTCTAATAGGTGTATGATATAAGAAGCTTTTGTTGTGGTGTGTTTTATTTGTTTGTGGGTTTGTTTAGTGAAGGAGAGCCTTTGACACGTTCATGGGTTGAGGGGAAGGAACGAGCAGAGATGATGAATTGAGGGTGCAGGAGAAAGGAGGTGAGTGGACAGAGTCCTAAGGGCTGGAGGAGAAGGGGTAGAGTGATGAATGAGCTCCTATGGCTGCATGCCTTATCCTTGGAGATGGGAGGAAAGGATATTAGGGTGGGTGAGTGTGGAGAGATAAGTGTAAGTGAGATGTGAGAAGTGGACTCTAGCAAGAGAGCAGCAGAAACACGATTAGAGGTGGAGGCCTGGAGGCCTGTCACCTGCTGGGTGACAACGAGTTCTGGAGTCAGGCTGATGCCAGCTCCCACAGTTTCCAGCTATTTGACCTTGGGCACGTTATCTAATCTCAGGACTCAGTTTCCTCATTTATAAAATGGGGATAATAATAAATACGGGTAGGATTATGGTGAGAATTAAATAAAATTCTATGCGCTCGGTGAATGAGAGTGACAGCAATGATGATCACGTAGTGAATCAAAGAGCTAAACATGCCAGATAAATTCATAGTCCAAATAGTTTGATCAGTTTTGGCTTATGCGTCTTTCCACTGCCTTCTGCAAGACTGAAAATAACTTGAGGGTAGGAGCCAGATGTCTTACGTTTTTCTGTCTTCCTAGCATCCAGCTCAGTGCTTTCCCCATGGAGGGCTCTCAGTCATGTGTATTAAACACCTGAATAACTGGACTGCACGTGGTCAACCCCACAGCAGCTCAGGGTGCTGCCTCTCAGGCCACTTCCCTTCCACTGACCCTCTCGGTCGAAATTTCTCCTCTCTGCGTTTGCTCCCCTTGTTACACTAACTCATCTTGCTTTGCGGTCACTGGCCGAAAGAATCATAGCTGCCTGCTTTGGGCTCTATATTTCCGTTCTGGAAACGCAAAGCACGTTATTATTCATCACTAAAGTCAGGTGATCTCTTTCTGTTGGTTATAAATGCCCAAGAATTAAAAAGGAAAAGGAGAGAGCAATATATCACTGGAGAGACTTCTTTAAATTACCTCTTTTTATGACCACTTGCATCCTGGGCCTGAGCTTCAGCAAGTTGACGGGATCAGTGTCTGGACGCTGAGTGAGCCACTCCTAGACCCCGAGGGACAGAAGAAGCGCTGCCGCAGCGGTGCAGCCATTTTGCCGTCTCGCTCCATCCTCAGTGGGTTCAGGTGCGCCGGCCAGGTGAGAGGCAGAGTGGGACCTGGGCTAATGAGGAAAAGGCAGCGGCCCACATAATAGCAGCCACAGGCACACCTGTGTCTGGTTGTCAGTTTGCTAACCTTGGCCACGCCCCCAACCTTAAAAAGAAGAACGTACTGTGAAAACACCCAACTTCTTGTCTTTCTCCCCCTCTCCTCCCTCCACGGAGATGCAGAAATGCAGCTAAAATGCCGCCTAGAGATGTCTGGGGAGGGACACTGACAAGACGAGTCAACGATGGAGGCAAAACAAGGAATTTAGAAAATCCATAACCTGACATCACCCCTCCTCAAATCATCCCAGTCTTGGCAATCCCACTTGCAAGCAGAGGTGGAGTTTGTTATAACTTTTCCTGGCATTGCAAATAGCCAAATGCTCCGGGTCCCTCCTACCAAACCCCTCGCTCTGACCACCAGGGGTCAGGCTGCAGCCAGGAGCAGACAGCGAACACCCGAGAGCCGAGCTCCGTTCAGTTCCCCCCAGGCCCTGCCCTGCCTGCCCGCCTAGGAGCTCACCAGAGCGCATCCAGCAGTGGCCTGTGAGATTCCGTTACCATTTGTAATCGAAGCTGCCTGGAGTTGGGATAGGTCCCCAGGTGAATCAGATCATTCCCTCATTTGCATTTGTTAAGTTTGAGAACCACTCACCTAAAGAATCATGTTGGGGGGTGGGGGGCGGTGGGAGGGTCGGGGGGAGCTTATGAAAAAGCGGATTCCGGGGGCTGCTTCTGGAGGCCCATTCTGGGGTGGAGGGGTTGCCTCCCGAGCATCTGCCTATTATGCAAACTCTTTGATTGGTTCTGAAACAGACGCTGCAGAACCACACTTTGTCAGGGTGCTTGAAGCCGTTGTTCCAACCCAAGAAGTCCCTAAGTGGAGCCTTCACCTTTGTGCCATGCCCAGGACTCCAGCAGGCAGAGGACTGCCCACGTGCCCAGCCACCCCAGTGCTGTAGGCCATCACATGTATGGTCTCTGGCACACCTGAGGCGACACAGCTACTCCTGGCACATTAATAAACACCCAAGGTGGGATGAAGGCGGCAGGAGAGGAAGGACAGTTCATACTGCCCAGCACCTGAGGAACACCACTGCCAGCCCACCCTGCCCTCTCCCGATGCCCTTTCTGCTCTGCATTCCTTCCAGCTATTTCTCGGCACTGGTTTCCTTATTTTATGCCCTTTGATGTGCCTCCCTCCTCCTCATTGCTCAGCAAAAGCATCCTGGATTTAGAGGCAGCTAAGCTAGAGAGCTCAGGATAATGCTTGGTGTCCTTCATTGATGCTAAGACACGGTTTATAACATGAGCACCCTGATGTGTTAACAGCTTTTCAGGGAGGATGGGAGTAAACGGCAACATCACATACATACATCGGTTGTAAGATGCAGCGCAGGTCCAGAATCAATAAAACGTGTGTCGTAGAACTGAGGAAAGTGTCTCTCTTGTTCTCATAATCTAATGCTGCTTTGTTCATTCGACTCGAATTCATGGAGTGCCTGCCTACTGGGCCAAGAACCTGTTCCAGGTGCTGTGGGTGGAGAGTTCAGCCGTGCTGATATTATGGTGTAGGAAGCATGTAATCAAATAAGAATAATAAACGAGTTAGGAAATCTGAGAGCTGGAGATCGTGACATTTGTTATTAGAGAACTAAATAGGGACAAGGGGTAGAGATGTAATGGAAAGGTCAACTTCAGATAGGGTGTTCAGGGACCATTTCTGAGGAGGGGTCATGGAGCTGAGGTTGGAATGAAGAGAAAGACCAGAGGAAGACCTTTCCAGGTGGAGAGGACTTTCATGTGGTTCTGCCAAGCCCACCTGGCACCCTGGCCCGTGGCTGCAGGCCTTCCACTCAATTGCTGAACTTGGCATTTATCAAGCACCTTTTCTATGCCAGGTGATGCTGGTCCCTCAGGCTGCAGTTGTGAGCAAGAAAGACGTGGTTTCCACCCTCAAGAAGTTTATAACTTGGTGCAGTTTATAAAGATAAGGTTCAGCTGACCCTGAATTTCTACACTTACCATTTATCTTCATCATAGAAAATCTATTTTAGATTTTGGATTAGGATGGCCTTGATGGGGAGGGCTTTGTGACCACAAACAACTAGAATCCAATGGGGAAACCATCAAGAGCCTGAACACAGCATCTGGTGGCTCAGATAAAACAATAAATCCAGCCACCATTCCCATTTGGGGCTCTTTGCTCTCAGTGTTCTCCTCATATTATCCCAGGACTGTGTGATCTGGGTGAGAAGACACGGGTTCCAAACGCAGAGCTCACATCTTCCAGAACTGAATTTACCCATTCCTGTACCATCTTTGTTTCCCCCTCTTGGTGCCGAGCACTACTCAGACCTTGGAGGCTATCAAAGGGGAAAGAAATATTTGTCTCTGAACCTCTCAGTTGCCTTTCAGAGGTTCTCACTGAAGATGAATGATGGGAATAAAAATGGCGACAGTCTAAAGGAGAGCTTTGCTCCTGCGCCTCCCAGGAAGCACCTGCTTCTCCTATAGCACAAATTCATAACTGACAGATGCTGTCAAACCCCTGCAAAAAGCAGATTCCACCCCCGCCCCCCGCCGCCCCCCTGGGTTTCGGAGAGTTTCTTTTGCATCTGAACAGCTAGTAAAGGAGAAAGAAGAGAAACAGCTCAAATAGAGCGAGGACTGCCTTGGAGTCACGGGCAGGAGTGGTCTGGAACCAGCTTGCACGTGGGCTCCCAGGGGTGGTAAGAAGAATGCATGTGTGCATCAAAATCCTGGGCCTTACCCCTGGAGGTTCTGATGAGCAGGTGTGATGTGAGGCCTGGAAATATATCTATCTTTCAAAAATACCTCTTTGAGTCTTTCTGAGTATCACTGAGGTTCATGAGCCCTTGAACTAGGGAACAGATGGATCAACAGTCTCCTCATTAGCTCTCCTCCCATCCTGATATCCTCTGTGTCTCCCCGCCTCCCTCAAAACCAGGCCTCAGGTTCAATCTTCTGCCCCGCTTTCGGACATTAGCCCCCAGGGGCCTGTGGCTGAAACCTGAGTCAGCCCCAGCCCCCGGCCAGGGGGAGCAACTGACTTGGGCCTCTTCAGTAGAGGCTTTGGGTTACCAGACACCCATCTGCTGCCTGTTCTCACTAAGGAAATGGGAGCCAGATCACTTTCACTGGGCATCAACCCCACGCCTCCCAGTCTGCAGGGAGGAAGGGAGAACCACCAGCCTTCTGGTGCCTTCACTACAAACAGCTCCCATGTGACTCCCCCAAGCCATTTTCATTTACATCTCAACACCTCCCAGAATAGCCTGCATGCTTTGTCAGGAAGAGCCCGTGTCTGAGAACAACGGTCCCCTCTCCCATTCCGCCTCCTGGGCTTGGCACCCAGGTCTCTGTTCATTCAAGACAAACTTATAGCCCAGTCCTCAAAACAAAGATTGACCTCCACCCCACTGGTGTCCATTTGCCAGTCCTGTACTCTTTAGGGTCTCTGGGAACCCAGGGTTCTATGCTAGTGACTGAAATTAGTTTTATCTCCTTAAAAAGAATGAAAAAGGAGGGCTTCCCTGGTGGCGCAGTGGTTGAGAGTCCACCTGCCGATGCAGGGGACGCGGGTTAGTGCCCCGGTCCGGGAAGATCCCACATGCCGCAGAGCGGCTGGGCCCGTGAGCCATGGCCTCTGACCCTGCACGTCCGGAGCCTGTGCTCTGCAACGGGAGAGGCCACAACAGTGAGAGGCCTGCGTACCGCAAAACAAAAAAAAAAAAAAAAAAAAAAGAATTAAAAAGGAATTTTAAAGTAATACATTTACATAATTTGACAGTCCAATGTACTATAAAGCCTCTAACAAAAAATAGCCAATGCAGGGGACACGGGTTCGAACCCTGGTCTGGGAGGATCCCACATGCAGCAGAGCAACTAGGCCCATGAGCCACAATTACTGAGCCTGCGCGTCTGGAGGCTGTGCTCCGCAACAAGCGAGGCCGCGATAGTGAGAGGCCTGCGCACCGCGATGAAGAGTGGCCCCCGCTTGCCACAACTAGAGAAAGCCCTTGCACAGAAACGAAGACCCAGCACAGCCATAAGTAAATAATAAATAAAAAATTGCAACCTCCCTAAAAAATAAATAAATAAATAGCCCCTCCTTCGCTCCCTAAATGCTAATACTTTCAACTCTTGAGGTGGTTTTAGAAGAAAAATATTTACCTTCATATTTCTAAGTAACATTCTTATAATACATGTATGCTGCTTTTCCAATTTGGAATATTATCTGTCAACTTCCTATCATGGAAGATAGGAGAAAGCACTTTTACACACATTCACTCTGTCCCACCACCCCACCTAGAATCTCCCTCTCCTCCCAATAGTTATGTCACATTTTTGGTTAAATCAATATTATACAATGTTTACTTTATGCTTATGCAAGTGTTAATTGTTAAGCCAGTTGTAGAATATTATGATGATATATTTTTCTTCAATATTTTTTTCTGAGTTAATTTCCTCTTTTTATTTGCTCAGTTATTCTATATGTGTATCAAATTTTCCCACATTCCTCACAGAACTATGAAGCCCCTCTCAATATCCTGTTCTACTTGGTCAAATACATTGAGTGAGCCGTCAGTTTTATTTTCCCTCTGGAGACACCTCTCCTAGAACCCTCCATTTTCCTGTTTCTACATGGACTGGTTGCTCCCTGAGTCTGCTGTATGGCTGACAACTTATGCCTTCCCTTTGCTTCTCTCCTGTGCTGGGTCCCATGTTTCCTGGATCTCACATCTATCTTCCTCTTAATTGACTCACTCCCCCATCCTGTGGGAGCACATCCTTCAGTAGCTTTCTGAGTATGAAGATAGGGGAGATAATCTTTAGAAGACTTTAATGTCTCTATTGTACTTTCATACTTGATTAATTTATTCTACAATTCTAGGTTGAAAAACATTTCCCTCAATTTTTAAAGTATTGTTCATTGTCTTCCAGTTTCCTGTGTTACTGTTGAAAACACTAATTCCATTCTGTGCCCTGATTCTTATATATGACTATTTTCTTTTTCTCTCTCTCTTGTTCTCTCCTTCCCCCTTTCTCCCTCCCTCCCTTCCTTCCATCCATCTTTCTTTCCATCCTTTTTCTTAAAAAATCTATAATGTGTGGGGGCAGAGGGTATATGGGAAATCTCGGTACCTTCCCCGTAATTTTTCTGTTAACCTAAAACTCCCCACTCCCCAAATAAAGTCTTAAAAAAAACTCAACCAGGGGTTAGGGAGGGAATATATGGATGCTTTTAGGATCTTTTCTTTATCCCTAGTCTTTAAAATGTTATGATGATATGTTCCTGGATTGGTCTTTATTACTTATTTTATGGGCATTCTTTGCATTTTTTCCAGTTTGGAAATGCATATCTTTCAGTTCTGAAAATTTTTCTTGTAAGATTTTCCCTTCATTTCATGTATGTACATAAGCTATCTATTGGTATGTATGCATGTATGTTAACATCTACCATTGCTGTTTTCGTTCTGTATTCTGAGAAATTTACTTTATCTTCCAACTTCCCCACTAGAACATTTATTTTGGCTATCATATTTTGAAGAGCTCTTGTAATTCTCTACATCTCTATCCATATAGCAGTTTTCTCCAATTGTCTGAGTTCACTATTTTCTATCTCTCTGAGAATATTAACAATAGGTTGTTTTTTCCAAAGTATTGTTTTTACTCCCTGCGATATCTCTGTTTGTCTTTTCTAAGAAGAATATGGACTTAAAACAAACAAAAGAAGGTAAGTCCCCTTTCCTACTTTGCCTTTAATCACTCTCCTCTTCAGAGTTACCCATAGTTTAGTTTGTTAGATGTCCTTCAAGGTCATTTTTCATGCACTTACTTACGTTTAAACATACACATATAATTACATACCTTGTTTTTTTTGTGCTACACTAATGTGCTGCATTGTGCCTTTGTTTTCGTACTTAACAGCACATGCTGAAGATCTTTTAATGTCTGTACATCTAAACTACTTATTATTTTAACCTGCTGCATACTATGCCAAAATAAGACTGTGCCAGTATTTACTTGACATTTAGATCATATTACATGTTTCTCTTTTCAAATCAATACTCAAGTCTTATTTTAAAATATGTTTTTATTTCTGTAGGATAAGCATCTAGAAATAAATGGCTGGGTTGTAAGTCAGTTTTATTCAAAATTGTCCTATAATGCTAGTTTATACTCCTGTAAAAAATTATGAAAGAATCTATTTCTTCACAGTTGTACAAACACTGGATATTATCAATTGTTTTATTTTTTGCCGATTTGGTTGGCCAATTTGCCAATAGGCAAAAAAAAAAAAATCTTAATGGTATATTAATGTTGGTTTACTTTGTTACTGGTGAAGTTGAATAGCTTTTCATGTATTTATTAGCTGTTTTTTAAAATTTCTCCTTCTGTGAATTGCCCAATAATATTTTCTCCCATATTTCTACTGTGTTGTTTGTATTTTTCTTATTGATTTATAGAAGCTCTTATATACTATAGATACCAATTATTTGTTTGTTTTAAAAGTTGCAGATATTTTCTCCCTGTGTGTCTCCTACCTTTAGGTGACATCTACTTTTAGACAGTATACAGGAAAGTTTAAAAAATTTTTTGTACTCAAATTTATCAACTATTTTTTTGTCACTTGTGACTATAGTGTTTACTTTAGGAAATGCTTCCCCCCACCCCAAGTTTATAAATACATTTTTCTTCACTGCCCTCTACTTTTATAGTTAAATTTTTAAATGTTTAGCTCTTTAATTAACTTATTTTTGTGAATGATACAAAGTTGATTCTAATTTTATTTTTTAAAAGAAACAAGCTAATTTTTCTTGCACTAACTGCTGAATAATCCACTCTTCCCCCTATGACTTGAAATGCCACCTATTATCATATACTATGTTCTTTTTTATATGTTGGTCCACTTCTGACGTCTTTGTCTGTTACACTGTTCTAGATCAGGACTGGCAAACCACAGCCTGTGGGCTAAATGCAGCCTGCTGCCTGTTTTGTAAATAAAGTTTTACTGGAACTCAGCCATGCTCATTTGTTTACATACTGTCCGTGGCTGCTTTCACACTACAATGGCAGAGTTGAGAAGTTGCAACGCAGACCATATGGCCCACAAAGCCTAAAGTATTTATTTGGCTCTTTACAGAAAAAAGTTGCCAATCCTTGCATCAGCATTATCAATAACAGGACTTCTATAGTGTGTTTTGCAGCTAGAAAAGTAAATATGTTCTTGCTGGGTCTATTATTTCAAAAAATTCTTCACTATTCCTTGTAAATGTCTTTGGGTGAATTTTACATTTAATTGATTGTTGATATGGTTGGGTTTAAAAGTACTGGTTTTCTATTTGTTTTTTACTTGTCCTAGTACTTCTTTGTCCCTTTTTTCCTATTTGTCTGCCTTCTTTTGGGTTTAGTAATTTTTATTATTCTATTTTATCTTTCATGCTTTTATTTTAGTGGTTGCTTTAGAGTTTATAGGATATGCCTTTAGGCTATCATAATCCATCTTTAAATAATATTATACCACTTCAAATATAGTATAAGAAACTTACAACAGTATACTTTCATTCTTCTTTCCTGGTCTTTTCGCTATTGTGGTCATACAATTTACCTTTTACATGTTATAAACCCCATAACACATTGTTTTTAATTTTGCCTTAAATGGTCAATTATTTTTAAAATTTTCAATTAGCAATTATTTTCAATTTTTTTTTAGATCTAAAATATGAAAAAAATTGTGTTTTATATTTAACCATATACTTACCATTTCTGGGGCTCTTCAGTGCCTGAAAGACTTCTGTTAACATTTCTTGTGCAGATCTGCTGGTGTTGAATTCTTTCAGCTTCTGTAAGCCTGAAAAAATTTTAATTTCATCTTCGTTTTTGAAAGAGACTTTTGCTGGGTACAGAATTCTAACTTGACAATACTTTTCTTTCAAAATTGAAAAAGGCTTACTTTTTACACTTTGTTAGGCAGGACCAGAACAACCTTTAGTCTTGGAAAATACCCTTCTGAGTACTTTACGAGATGCCCCATGTATCACAAGGTTTTTTCACTCTCACTGGTGGGAACACAAACTATTTCTGACCCTATGTAAGCTCCGGGGATGGTTTTGCCCCTTTCTCGTGGTTCTCTTCCCAGTCCTAGGTGCTTTCCTCAGATGTACATGCTGATTAAGTGCTCAGCTGAAAACTTGAGGGGAACCTTCTGCAGATCTCCAGAGAACGCTCTCTCCTTCTCCCCGCCCCCTGCTCTGTGCAGCTCTCTCTTCTCTGGTACTCTGTCCCTTGAACTCTAGTTACCTTGGCATCCCCAAATTCTCCACTCTGCCTTCTCAGGGAGACCACTCTCCCCTCCTTTTGGCCTGGAAATGCTCTCCAGGCAGTAAGCTGGGGCAGTGATAAGGTTCATCTATTTCTCTGCTTTTGGGGCTTAACACTACTGCATTAGCTGTTGTTGAATGTATAAAAAACATTTTCATGCATATTTTTGGGTTTTTAGCTGTTTAAGGTGAGAGGGTAAAACTGGTTCTGATTACCCCCTCATGGTTAAAACGTTTCATTTGGGATTTTGATTGGAACTGATGGGAAAAATTGACACATATTGAGTCTTTCCTTTTAGGAACATGGTATATTTATTTAGGCCTTCTTTTAATTTCTCCAGTGGATTTTATGGTCTTCCACATTTATATTGATGTTGCATTTAAAGGCCCCAGTATAGGCTCCTTATATTCTCTCTTATAGCACCTTATTTATACCCTGTAGCAAATCAGGGATAGAATCTAAGACCCCGGGGCTTCTGCTTTGCCGGGAAGCTCTTACACCGATCCACTTCCTCCCATTCCTGTAGATCAGAAGGAGAGGGCCTCTGACTTGACCTTAGGTGTTGGCTTCATTCCAGCTGACTCTTTCATGATGGCAGACCAAGGTTGAGCAGCTCTGAACTAGGGCCTGGGGTGTGCATGTGAAAACACTAGAAGCACCCTTCATGGAACCCCATGGTAGAAACTGGCTTAGAGCTGCTTCATTTTGGCATGGTTTGCCTGAAGCTTTGTTTCCACGTTTACGTATAGCTGGGTATGAATGTACTCTGAGAAGAACCTGAAGACTGAACTATTGGTCTTCTGGGGGGCGCTATCATCTCCATGTGTTTGTGGGGTCACTCCACTTACCTTATTTATACACTGGGCCTCTTCTTTGATAGATAATTACTAATGCACAGAAAAAAAAATCATCTCTAATAATCTCTCTGGGATAAACAGGCATTTGTGGGCTAGTTAGCGAAGTTTGGGATGTGTATTCTAAATATTAAACAACCAATTTGGGAGCAAACTTGCAACATAATTCCTTCCTAAGCTGGCAGAAATCTACCTCTTGCCATAATGACAGTAATAAATTGAAGAGACTTTAACTGACTACAGTTGACACCAGATGGGTAAACACCCATCCTAAGTAATGAGTTGGTTAATTATACCAGTGCCATGTTAATAGACCTTCGATTAATCTCTTGAGAGTATATGACTCCATCACCTACAATGGCTCGTAGCATCTAAGCAGGACTTTTCAGAGCTCAGGCTCCTCCATTAAGACAAAATGTATGTCTTAAGAATCAAAGGGTTGGGTGGAATTTAGCTTACTATTTTCATTACACCTCTGTGTGGGGATCAACTTGTATAAAGCATCAGAGAAATGATGAGGCAAATCAAACAGCGACAGGGAGGAGATTTTAAAATATTTTACTGGTACTCACATAACCGCCACCCTCATACTTAGCCAGACTTGGTCATATTTATGTAACACCCAGGTCTCTAGTATGTGGGTGCATTCAGACTTTCTGAAACAGTGAGTTCAGTGCCTCACTCTCTGACAGTTATGTTAGCGAAAAGAAAACAATGCCACTCTCACAAAATGCAATGCACCTGGACACTCTGGAGACCCAACCCATCCCACGTGTGGATCACTCTAGTTCAGGAGCAGATTACTGGTTGGTCCATATTGCTTGGGCTCACCTAATGACTACTAGGTTATAACCCTGATGCACGTAAGCATCACTTGCAAAACTTTTACTGGCACCATGCCCACCGCAGACAAAATAGATCAGCAGCTCTCATCTGGGCCCCAGGCATTGTTCTCTATCATTCTAATGTGCAGCCAGGGTTGAGAACCACTGCTGGAGACTAGAGTAGTTGAAGCCATTGTGCCAATTTTCAAAGTATTCATGCAGAGTATATTTTAATTCATAATATAAAGCAGTAATGAACTCTTTAGTTCTTTCAAGATTATTGCCAAGTATGGCAAAATTCCCTATTTCTCCAGTTTTTAGCTTTGGAGGTGACCACGTTGTGTGTGTGTGTGTATGTCTGTGAGACAATCCTGCTATTCTGCTTCCTACGTAGCTTTTGCATCTTTTCCTTTGCCTCCCTGCTGCCACATCCTTAGTTCAAATCGTCGTCTCTCTAGTCTTGCTGCTCCCTCCCCACCCCTACCTGCACTGTTCCCATTATTTCTCTCAAACTCCAAACACATCTTTCTTCTTATAACCCTCTTCAATGGCTCCCTGCTGTCCAGACACTCAGTGTCTTCACCTGGGCATCCAAAGCCTCTCGTGAGTAGGCTGGGGGGGTCATTACTTGAACCAAAGGGTCCCTCGCAAGTCCTGAATGAGCACTGTTGTCCCCAGCTTCTAAGCCCCTGCCTGGACAGCTTGTACCTCACCCATCCTGCCAGAAGTCCCCATTCAAGGCTCTTCTGAATAAAAGCTTCTCTGATCTTGCCACCTCCCACTCCCAGCTCCTAGGTCTTCACTGCCTATGTCAAAGCAACATCTGATTACGCCTTGTGTCTGGCAGATAGTGGGTGCTCCAAAAAAAACAGTGAACAAATAAACTCCATTTATCACAGTATCAAAATTGTAAGTTTGTCTTTCCTACTAGATACTGAGCTTTCTCTGAGAACACTGGGTAACGTGGTATATGTAGTAGAAAAAGCAAAGTCTTTGGAGACGAATTTATGTTGAAAACTCTGCTCTATCACTTACTAGTGACAGGATCTTGGGCAAATTGAACTGCTTCCTCAGCTGCAAAATGAGGGTGATGACACCTTGAAGGGCTGTGAGGATTAGCCGTGACTTGTATGGTACCAGACACATAGTAGGTGCCCATATATTTCCTCCCCTTGCCTCCAACTGACATAACTTACCAGATACTCTGCAAAATTCATGGACAACACCTTGCTAGAAAGCTTCTGCTTTGTACCTTATGCTTCCAAATGACTCAATTCTATAAAAGTTAAATGTTTGTTAGAAGACTTGAGAACCCTCTTCTCTCCCACCCTAGTCATCAGGGGCATATTATACCCATTACCTTATTTAATCCCCAACAGTCCTTTGAATTATTCCTGTTTTACACCCGAGAAAGCTGGAGCAAAGACAAGACAATGGATTCTCCTTTAGGAGCAGGGCTCTATACTTTATGTCATGTTGCTCTCACATTTGGTCTTGTGAATGCATGCTTTTAAGTGCAATCACTCATTATTCTGAAATTAGAACCAGTATTCCAATAATGTCTGTTGAATGGGTAAAAGTTAAAGTAGCTATTTTATTATTATTAAAATATTATTATATTTTAAGGAGAGTCCTTTCAGCCCCACACTTTGGGACTGAATAGTGGCTGACTGCCACACCCTCTCAGACGGAGCCTCTTGGAGCCTTGGTTCCTTCATCCCTAACTTGAGAAGAATAATAGTACCTGCCTTATAGGAATACAAGGATTCAATGAGTTAACACATGAGCTTCTAACACACGTGGAGCGGGATGTGGCACATGGCAGGGCTCAGCATCGGCTATTAGCATCATCTCCACAAGGGCCATTTTGCTCAGAATTCTACCAGGTTGTCCTTTAATGTGCTCTATTATAGGAAAGAAGAACAAAAAGAGAACACTCACTCTTGCATAACTGAGAACTCAATTTAAAAAAGGCACTTTAAAGACAAATAAAAAGTAACTTTATTGACTGCTAATCTTACCATGAAATTCCTATAAGAATAATTACAAAATAATGCAGTTTTTTTTTTTCACACACTTTTGGTATCACCTTGATATGATGATCCTTTCACAGAAAGGATTATTTACAGTTTATGTAGATATAAAGTTCATTGTTGCAAATACAAATGTAGATGTATGGGGCAATATATACCAAATTGGTATACTGACTAGCAATGGATATTAACAAATGCAGAATAAATAACAGCTTTATACTTCTCCTTTTTTATTTTTAAAACAATTTCCAAATACAAAAATGTAGATATTCAAAATGGATTTTCACATACATATATATAATTCTGCTGCAAACAGTGGATCAAAAAGGAAAAATGTCCTTAGCATGTTTCATTTTTGAAAACCCACAAGACTATTCATAAATGCAATTAGAAAGAGGGTGTGCAAAACCACCAACGATGCTGGAAAAACCCTAAAGACCTGATTCTGTTTGAAGTAGAGAGAAAATAAAGTATAAAGCACTATGTACTTAATTAAATATATTTTTTCTTAATGTTTAAACAAGAAACACTAGGAGCTAAGGAAATGTACCACATTATGAGCTGGGCTCTTTAGAGTCAAACTTCATCAGGATTTGTCTCTTAAGCATCTGTAAGAAATGGTGGATTATTTAATGACATAAGTAAAATAGTCATTAGATGATCCTTTCATACTTTCATCTTTTTATACAAAGACTGAGATACTTTTATACATTCTGATACCTGAAACTTTGGTTCTTTCAAACATTTCATAAAAGCAAAATCATTTCATGACTATAGAGTGTCATAGAGTTTTTTTCCTTTTAAAGTGTCAAGTTAAGCCAATTTGACCAGGCTTGTGTGTACACACTGCCCTGTCACGTCCACGGCGGGGGCACGCTAGGGACAGTACAGGTGGAGTTTGTTCTCGTTCTCCATGTGTTTATAATACTGACTCCCATCCATGGGGAACACTGCAGGTGCTGCCGTACCCTAAGTCTATTTCTTTGTTACCTGAAAACTTAATTTTGTATAAAAATATGACTGTTTCTTTAGAAAATAATATAGTTTTTTTTTAATAAAACCTGGTAGATAGAAAAAATGGTATATCAAAATATGGTAAACAAATGTTGTAAAATATGAAATCATTAAAAACATCTCATAGAAAGACATTGTGCTAAAGTACTTTCCTGAAGTGTGAGCAACACTGTTACTGTACATCTAAAGGTTACTAAGTTCAATCTCCTGACTTGGTTTCATTATATATCCTAACAGCAGTGGCAGTAACTGTCTTAAAAATGGTTCTTTCTCAAACACTAACATTTTCTGTATACTTCAAAATTAATGAAAAAGATATCCTCTGGATCGGTGGTTTTCAATCCTGTTACATACTAGCTCCATCTGGAAACTTTAAAAGAAAAGGCAATTCCACCTGGGTCTCACCGCAAGAGACTGATTTAATTCATCCAAGGTGGGACCCAGACATTGTTATTTTTTTAAAGCTCCCCAGATAATTCTATGATGCAACCAGGGTTGAGAACTATGGCAAAAGACACATGAGAAAACAGTCGTTCTTAACTCTGTATCTATCAACTGATTGTCTGTAGGCATCATTCATTTGATGACATATCCTCTTTACCAAACAAGAAAGACCATGTATATGAGATAGTCATGGGAGCCAAAATGAAAAGTTAGTAAGCTTTAAATACATATAAACACACACAGTCTCATATATTTACATATGTATAACATGTACGTATAGTTAGGGTATTTTGGTTAAGCAGAAACCAGCATGACCATACTTTGCTCTTGATTTAAAAAAAAAAAAATCCACCAAGTACAGACATATTTTAAGACATTTCCATAGTTTTAACAGAAACTGGTTTTGGAAACTCCACAAAATTCATTATGGCATGAACACAACTGATCCGTTACTTGGACAAGGGGCTCAGCTGAGTCCTAGAGCTTTCTGGAAGAGCAGGAGGATGACGTGGCACTGACCAGGTGTGAAGGAGTCACAAGGCATCACGGCATGCATGGTCTTTTGGTTATTGCTTGACTCACATCTTCTTGGCCCTCGGCTGCCCTTCTGGTGGAGGCATCTTTGGCGTGCTGGATTTTGACTGCTTCGTTCGTGTTCACTTTGGTACAGCCCCAGTGGGGTGGCAATGGCTCTGAGTAGGTGACGGTCTCTCTACTAAAAAATGAGAGCCTCTTCTCTCTCTCTTCCCTCCAACCACCGGCATTTCATGACGGAATGGTAAAAAAATGTACAAGCAAACAAAGGAACCCAACAACATCTTTCACATGATAAAAAAAAAAAAGTGTTGTTACATGTAACTGAACTGGGAAACAAAACAATGAACAAACACACCACAGTTGGATATTCTGAAGGCTTGGTAACCAGTAAAGCACATTTCCTTCCAAAGGATCAGTGAACTTCTGGGCACTTGTCTTGTGTACATTCTCTGCAGTCCTTTTACTTCTGTGTAATACTTAAAGTGCAACTGTCCCTCAGCTTTTATTTCTGTCGCAAATATTATAAAGAAAGAGCTATGTCTGGGGTGAAGAAAATATGGCACAGTAATAGGTAAAGAAAGAACCCATGGCTTTCACAGCCTCTATCGAACAGCAGGCTGTCTGTACAGCTGCACATAGACGTCCTTTATACAACAAACTCTGGAACTTCATCATGGGTGAGATCCAGAGAAAAGTATTTGCTGGTTCTTTTGACTGGAAAAGCATCTTGGATGTTGACACACTGCTGAGCCAAGCAGCTGCTGCAATAGAGGCCTTCCTCATCTAGTTCATGGCCACACCCAAAGGTATAACTCTGAGCAGTGTCCTGACACAGCCCCGCAATGCGCAAAAAGTCTTTCTGATACAGTCTGATGTCATCGAGGCTCAAGCTATGTCGATCGGTGGAAGTCTTTGGCTTTCGACATATAGTCTACAAGACAAGAGAAGGTTGAAACAACTTTAAGAGCATAGACTAAAGCGAAAGTTTAGCACTATTTGCCTTGTACAGACAGAAGCTGCAAAATCATAAAAGGTTAAGGAATCCTTATATGTTAGGAAGTGGTTTCCAGTCTGTGGTTTGTGGGCCCTGAGGCCCCGTGGAGCAAAACGTCACTACCACCACCACCAAATAATAGCAGCTAGCATTTACTGAGCCCTTATTGTGTGCTAGACCCTAGAATTCGTTTAATCTTCCCATCAGTCTGTGAGCCAGGTGCTATTATTCTCCCCCCTCTACAGATGAATAACCCAAGGCACAGGGAAGTCAGTGCAATGTGAATCCAACTGTCTCTAGCATCTCAGAAATCAAGCAGTTATCTTAAAATCAGGTTGCAGAGGTAAAGATACTGTTTCTCGGTTTTTCCATGAGGATATGGCAATTCAGCACGGCAACACTCTCATGCTGAGGTCTGTTATTCTTTTAATAAGAAATGGGAAAACAAACCAATTATTACTCAAGAAACACAGTTTAAAAAACTATTTTTTCAAAAGCCACAATTCTTGGGTAGAAAAATAACACGAAGTGCTCTTGGTATAGCAAGTTGGGAGACGGCCCCAGGTGGGCTCCCGAACACTGCAAGAGGTCACACTCTGACAAATGCTCCACACAGCAGGTAGCAGACTTTTAGAACTCATTATCCCAAGAGGTGGTTCCAGCTGAAAATATAAGTAGGTTAAAAAATGGTTCCAATAATTACATGAATGGAAGATCCTTAATGGTTACTTAATGAAAAGAGGCATTATAGTTCTAATCTACTTTTGCGGCTGAAACCACAAAGGTCAGCCTTGTTAGAATAAGATATCATTTTTGCTGGAGGAAAAAGTAACAGGAAGAAAGAACAGAGCCTGAGCTCAACAACATTTTCTTGGAAGGGTCAGGTCCGAGAGCCTCCTGAAGATGACGATCCTTGTACTGACGTCTTCTGAGGCTCCACCGAAATTTCACATAGAATTCATCAGGTCATCGCCACAAAGCATCAAGGCAGGCACACGAATGCTCTTCCCATCTGGTAGATGTGGAAGCTGATCCTTCGCTGTGCCCCACAAACGTTCATGTACAGTAAGAGCTAACGCTGACTGGCAGGGCTGGGGTGCAAACCCAGTTAGTTTGACCCTATAGCTTGTAGTCCTAATCATCATGCTACATGTGCTGCAATAAATATCACTCATTGGAGTTTCCAGAAGAATATTTAATAAAATGTCACGTTCACATTATGGTTACTTAAATGGAAAAGAAAAAAAGGACAAATGAGAAAAAAGGGAAGAAAGAGAGAAAAATATAGGAGGCAAAGATTGCCAGAATGCAAGAGAAAGAAAGAAAAGAGGAACACACGTAGAAGGAAAAAAACAAAAGAGACAGAGCATCCAAGTGCTTCCCTGGAGACAGAGGTGAATATCAGCAGTAGATTATATCTAAATGCTGCAATGGTGTATTTTAATTTATCTATATCTTCTGATAGTTTAATAGTTTAACCAGTGATCATGGGTTATCAAATGCTCTAGCTTAGCATAGTTTGATTCAATCTGAATGGAATAATTAGAGTGTGGAAACATTTCTACCGCAACACACCTGACGAGAAAATTACTCTCCCAGTTGTTGAGATCAACACACACACACATACACACACCAGAATTAACCTGAAGCCTGAAGACTAGAGGCTTCCCACCCACATAAAGTATGAAACAAAGTACATAGTTCATCCAAATAAAAACCCAACTCAAAGATAAACAGAACTAGAAAATAAATGGACATAAATTCAGACTAAAACTAGAATGTATGTATCTACTAGGAATCATTTCATTAAGGTTTTAAATTTCTGCTCATTTATGTAATTATAAATGTAAGTTCCTATTTAAAATTTTCTATACCTTCAGCTGCTGATTTAAAATTTCAATCCCTTCCATACCTGTGGGAGAGAATCAGTACTCTGGCCTCGAAGTTTGACCACCGTCTCTGAGGAGCTGGAGGTGGAAGAACCAATTTCTTTCACAATCAACCCTAAAGTGAAACGCAGAGGAAAACGAGTGAAGACTTCAAATTATTCATCCCTCTTGCCACTCATCTGACATATACTGCTACCAAGAAGGAAAGGGCAACTATTAACCACTGCCCACACATCTCACTGTGGCCCTTTGGTGGCAGATGACCAGGGGGGATCACATTCTCTCCTTGTGCTGCAGTGAATAGGAGGAGTGGGATACATGTGGGGTTAGAGCACAGGACGGAGGTTAGAAACTGCATTTCCTAAAATAAACTTTTAATTAAGCTATTTATGATGCAGTTAGGAATGAACACAAAGGCTGAAGGTGCAAAGCAATCTCTTTACTGTATCTCCTAAAGCTCCCCCCACTCTCCACACAACACTGACTTTGAATTTAACCTGGACACAGCCTCTAGGTCTGGCTCTACTTAGACAAGCAGTGGGTAAGTGCAGGGCTCAGGCCTCCTCTGGAGTCACACAGATCTGGGTGGGAACTGGGTTCAGGTAAGTTAAGGAGCTGTGTGTCCTGGCCAGTGTCTGTGTGTCCTTGTGTCTGTCTGCACCTCTTATAAATGGCGCTGAGCCCAGCACCCATCTGACTAAAGAGCAAACGCCCACAAAGGGCTAGGTCCAGGACCAGCATATGGAACACACTGTGTTCCGGAGGCTCCTCTTGGCCAGCGGGAACACCGTGGCACAGGCCTCCTGCAGCAGATGCCACCGGTGAGACACCAAAATGGGAGGCCACGGTGAGAAGTCAGTTCTGGGGCTCTGAGGTCAACAGAGCTCCTCATCACCCCAGTGCTCGGGGAACCTGATAATTCAGAAACAGAAATCCAGGGGCTGACACTTCCCTAAGTGACTGTGGCATGGGAAAAAAGCACCCAGGAAAAATGTTTCAGAAGGTAAAATTGTCAATGCGAACTGGAGATGTAAGTAAAAACCACTCATATTTTTCTTGCAAACAGATGGAGCAAGTGAATAGGTCAGGCCCCAGAGCCCTAAGGCTAAATGGCTTAAGTACATTTCTACCTGATAAAAAAAGAACCTTGAGTAAGTAATGTGATTGTTATTCAGCCACTGCTAGTAACCTACAGAAATGACTTTTTGTATTCTCTCTCTTTAGAAGGGTCTCATAATAATTCAGTGTCTAGAATGTATTGTTTGATGATTAGTTCAATTAAAAAATGATATATGTACATTCTTGGTTTACATGTAGACAGTTTAAATTATTCTCAGATGACACTCATGTTTTGGGGGTTGGTACAAAGTGCTTGAGTAGAAGATCGTTCTCTAGAAAGCTCCTTATCTTCTAAAAAGCCTTAAACTTTTGAGTCAATCTTCATAGGAAGAAGATGTGGACTAGTGCACTGGTTGGCACTGGGTATGGTTCCTTTTGAATTTCCTTGTAAATGTGCCCTTTTCTGCCTATAAATAATTTGCTCCAAAACCCAGAACCAGCACTAGAAAACTCAGTATCAAGCCTGGTGCTCAGAACACTGAACAGACTCCTGCCAAACTTCCACAAGAATGAAGGACAGAGCAGTACACTACGTCACTACTCAATCTTAGCTCCATGTTTTTAAAACAATGGGCTCAAATTGTAGAGATTTTGGCAAACTGGGATGATGCAAAGAAGAAAATAAAAACATCCATAACCCCATCATCCAGAGAAAAGGCTATTAATATTTTATGTATATTTTGTCACATACATGTAAACATTTTTATAATTTGAGATCGTACTATCTAAACAATTTGTACTGTTTTTCTTACCTAGGTTTCTTACATTATTAAGTATCCTCTGAACCCACTAGCTAAGGAGAGGACCTTCCCGAGGGAGCTCACCAGAGTGTCCATTCAGCTTCCGAGACAGGAGCATGTCCTCTGTGATGTAGATGCACATGTCTGGGCTGACTTCCAGGGACTCTTCATTCATCCTCTCCAGGTCCCTGGGGTCGTCAACCAACATCTCTATTTCTGACAAAGAAAGAAAAGACATTTAGTGACCTAAGGGGAAATGGCCACTGTAATTCATAGCCACACCTTGAGGGAGGTTATTTAATTATTCATATTTAAAAATAAATCTGCTAATGAGACTCCACAACAGGAAACTCTAGCGACAACTCTCAACTAGATGCTGCTTCTCTTCTCCACAGGACTGCTGTGTTACCTACAAGTCTGCTAATGCCATGATTTGACTGTCAACAAGGACAGAATGAGTAGTGCATGAAGCTCCCCATCACCCATGGCTGCCTTCTCTCAGAGCATTTAGCAACTTGATTTGATATCCACGTGAATTCTATAGTAAGCACACGTATGTTCTGCAGTTTCCCTTAATGGAATCAGTGTATCTTTTCCCCAAACCTGAATGCTACAGCAATTATTTGAAACAGAAAAATAAAAAAGATGCACACAAGTACTAAGTTTGGCTGATACAGGCTATAGGTCTGATCGTATCTTATGCCTTAACACAGGTTTAAGCAGCCAAATGCTGTTTCTTTCTTCTCTATTACTACATCAATTCTACAGAAACAATAATGCGAAAAAACTGGAAGAGAAAAAGCAGAGCATCCCAGACGACAGGTCAGCACTGTTAGCTCGGAGGGCCTGGGGGGCAGGTTACCATCGTCCTGCAAATCCTCCTCCAGCCGGTCCTTGCCGCCACTCTCCACCCCGGAGGTGTGGGAGCTGCCGTGGCTGGTCATGGAGCTGCAGGTTTTCAGCTTGCGGTGGATGGCGCTGCCGGGGTAGGCATCTTCGGGGCCCGCGTCCCGGACCTTGGTGTCAGCCTCGATGCCCGAGGTGTGAGAGCTGCTGTGGCTGGCGGTGGAGTGACGGGACAGGCGCTTATGCTTCATGCTGCCCGCGCTGCTCCCGCTGGCCCGGGACCGCTTCTCCAGCTGGTCCATGTCGAGGTCCAGGTTGTCGCTGATGTAAGATTCCCGGTACTGCTTCTTCTCTGTGTGGTGAGGAAGACAGCTCGTCATTATATTCAACCAAGGCAGAAGGAACAGCTGATTAGCGGGGGTCAAGCCAAGAACAAGTACAATTTCACATTCAGAAGTGAGTGAGTGGAAAGTGCTCATAATTCTGATAGGAGCTCAATTTAAGAAGACTGCAAAATGAACAAAAACCAGTACCATAGATATGAGGCGAGTATTTAACTACTCAAAGAGTTTTAAAGCTTCAAACACCATAGAGGAATGCTACTCAAAGTGTAAGATGGCAGATCACTTCTTGTCTGCAAACTGTTATTGGTCCACAGTGGAATAAGTTCAGGAATTGAGAATAAACATTTAGAAACTTTTAGAGTGATCTGACATTGCTAGGACATCCACGAATGTGATTTTGAGCTTTGCAAAAGTATCGGTCCACAGTGGATTAGAAGTTTTTAAAAATCTGGTCCTTCCCCACAGATAATTTCAAAAGAACTGCTACAGAAACAGTTCAATAAATCTACTTATGCTAATTGCCTTTCATTTGATTTGTTCATCTGTTCAATTTGGGCCATTGTTAGCTTAGCTCTAGCTGTTGAAGACAATTTAAAATAAAATTATTCTTCTGAGAATTCCTTTCAAAAAATTCTAGAATTTAGATTTTCATGGATGAAGATTGCTTTTCTCCATTTAGGCTGAATCAGTGAGGTTTTACCATCTATTAAGAACACAGAGTAATCACTACTGGTTTGATAATTTATACTCATGTAGCCTCTGATTGATAAAACTGTTCTTTGATTTAACATGTCAGTACACCTCTTTAACGTAGCAAAGACACAATATTGGAAAGTCCCTTTTATCGAATGCTAAACTAACCATTACATAAAGGCACAAAGTTACAACTGAGCTACAGGTGTACAACTGATAGAAACTGTGCTTCAAGTCAGAAATTTAAAACCAAGAAATAGTTAAACTGCCTTGTATCTTTAATACTGATGAGAAATAACACATTAGAACAATGTTAAAAATGGAGAGTGCATTTGGGGAATGTTAAATTGATATTATTTCAGAAACTGCTGACTACTAGACTAATTGGGTTCTCAAGGGCCTGTTAATGGATTTAATTGTATTGTGTCTTGGTTAAGTAAAAATACTTGCACTCTTGATGTTTGAATCCAGCTCTGAAGTATAATCACCACAGGCTTCCCCAGAGAGGGAATGAACATCAGCAGGAAGAGAAAATATGCATTCCAGGATGCAAAATGGAAAAAATGCTTGGAGAAGGCTGTGTGTACATTTCTGGGCTTCAGCCCTTTCATGTCAATTCTAAGGAATCGAGCTGAAACACACAAAGGTGAGTGTGTGTAGCCACACAGAGGCAGACTGGAACCAGACATCAGAGCCTAACACACACCATCACTGCAACAAAAGTACATCCATCTACAGCCCATTTTTTAGGGTTAGACTGGGTTCTAATGATTTCCTATTTTCTGAAGGCAACAGGAGTTAAGATGAAGATGAAGAACTAAAGGGGTTTGCAAAATTCTCATACTTTCTATTCACTGTAGTTTCAATACAATAGCCATGTTGCCCTTGGAAGGGTGGAAAGTGAAGAGAAAAAGTAAAAATAAAAAGTCCTATATGGTGTTCGAGTTCTAAGACAATTGAGAATTGTGGATCTAATAATTTAAAAGCTTTTCTGTCTCTTTACAAGTAGCCCTTTTACTCCCAAATTTCTTGTAGATTTGGAATCAACTACAGTTATTCTATACTCATAAGCATAGTCACTAGAAGACAAGCACTTTGCCAACTTGTTTTCTATCTAATAGGAGCCTAGCATGAATTACTTCCTGTCAATGTGTCAGCGCAGCCTTGGTGTTCCATGTGCTGGCTTCTATTCCTGTCATCGTGCTTTATCTCTTAGACCCTCTGCAAACATTTAAGAAGCTTCATACCAATCGGTTACAAAATGAGGGAAACGCTGAAATAATTCTGAAATTTATTCTAAGAGATGCAAAATGCAACCTCTCACCCCCTAGTAATCACTGGTGTCAACAGGGCAAATCATCAATGTGTCAGTGTTCTATTTATTCCCTCTACTGTAAAAGCCCACAGACCACCAAGTTTTTCATATGTTATTTTGTAATATAATGCAGTCAATGTGCCCTCTTGACACAGACCTAAGAATAAGCCCTAGCTATTGAATAAAGTTGAGGTGAAAAAAATTTTTAAAGACAGAAAGCATTTTTTATCCATCTGTTCTAAATACCATAAGATTCTTGTGATCATTTTTACTATAAAATGAGAAAATAGTGTTTCAGACAAGGTGACTCTAGATGAAATTTAATTAAGAAAAATATAGATTCTTTTCATGCTGTGATTTTTGGCTAATGTTAATAGCTTTTTTTGTTTAAAATGATGGAGTCCTTAAGTGTGGGTGAGATAAATGGATTCAGGCCAAGGTAAGTCCAAAGAAACTGTTTCAGGTTTTCTTCAGATCTGGAGGGATTTCTAAGCAGAGAAAACTAAAGATGTAAAGGAAAAAAAGCCATCCCCGCAAAATCTATCTATATGTATCCACGTAAAAGATCCAATCTGCACCTTTATCATTCCCTCACTGCCCCTACTCACATAAGCTCCCAAATGCACTTGGTGCTATGCTTGATAACAGACAAAGCCCTCCCCTCTTAACTTGACATTCTATGTAATTTTGCTTTAGAATCTGTAGGCGACGTCCGTTAATTCTTTCAAGCTCTAAGGGGCTCCCGTTAAGGTCACCTAAACAAGAATTTACTAAAATGCTGCTGGCAGAGAGCTGCAGGAATAAGTGAATTTCACAAGGTGCCAAGTTGGCCATTTAGGAATGAAGCCAACTTGGCAAAATGATGGGCTCTGAACCTAAGTTACCTATTCTCACAAGCTTCCTTGGCGCTTCTGTCCTGTTTAAATTCCTAATCTTCATATCAGCGTCAGAGAGATATATGCATTTATTATACTGATGAGTCATCATGGGAAAGAACTGGCAGTCTAGCAGCAGGGGAAGCCAATACACTTGACAGTGAGACCAATTCTCTCTGAAGACAGATGCAGTTTGGTGGCAGACAGTGGAAAATGATTCACATTCCAACTGCTACTTAAATTACAATGGCTTCTCCAAACTGGGTCTCATTTAAATTGACAGACAGCTTTTGAGAGAAATCAATCAGATGCAAACCTCTATAAGGTTTTTGTTTGTTAAGAGAGAAAATGGTACAGATGAACCTGTCTGCAAGGCACAAATAGAGACACAGATGTAGAGAAACATATGGACCCCAAGGGGGGGAAAAGGGGGGTGGGATGAACTGGGAAATTAGGATTGACATATATACACGAATATGTATAAAACAGATAACTAATGAGAACCTGCTGTATAGCACAGGGAACTCTACTCAATGCTCTGTGGTGACCTAAACGGGAAATCCAAAAGAGGGGATATGTGTATACACATAGCTGATTCACTTCGCTGTACAGCAGAAACTAACACAACATTGTTAAGCAACTATACCCCAATTAGGAAAAAAAAGAGGACAGGGACTTGTCTCACTTCTTTAAGAAAAGTGAGGTCTGAGAGGACGAAATCTGTTTCCGATATGGACCTAAAATATGAATCTGCATCCTAATATTCATGCAAATACCCCAAATAGAATCCAATCGAATTACCAAGAATTACTACAAAATGAGTTTGCAAAAAAGTCGAAGACATTAAAAAACCAAATATGCAAAGTAGCATTTTTGGGGATTAGAAGCTGGAGTGTGCCGAACAGGGTAACCACAGGAGATAAAGAGTTAACCATTAGGTTAATACTGTGAAGTTGAAGTCTGCTGCTAGAAGCCCCCATCCCCGTCTTCCTCTCTTCACCATGACTTGACCCCACTTTCAGGGCCTGGAACTCTGAAGCCCCAAAGGCACTGCTCTATTCTGTGTCTCAGCAAAGCTCCCACAGGACTGGCTGACAAGATCCTCAATTGTAAACTTCTCTCTCCTTTGTTTGTCTTTCTTGCTCAGCCAGACACGGGGCCTCCTAGCAGTCAACAAGAGGCTGGAGACATTCTGTGACCCACCTTTATTGTCACTCTAACCTAAGGAATAATCACACTGGAAGGAATTCCAGATAGCCTGTGGATAACAGCACCAAGGTGGATCAGTGTATAAACAAAGCTCTGAGATGCAGATAAAAGCTGATATGCACAGAAACCCTGGCCTGCACCTTCAAGTGGTGGCTTTCTGCAAGAATTCTCAAGCCAAGTGTGGGGAAACCTTACAGAGACTGTTCTCGAAGGTAGCTAAATGGCAGGGATAATCTCGGATATGCTGACTAGCACTGTGGGCCTTCTGGGACAGTGCTGAGATGAAACAGGAATGCTGCTGGGGATCTGGAGACGCTGGTCCCCAGGTCCCACTCTTCACAAGACTAAAGCCCCAGTTCTTGGCAACTGTAGGGTACGGGGCCCTGGGTGGCAAAAGCACCATCTGCTTCCCGCCCGAGACCCTGCAGGACCTTCGTTTTCCTCCAGCTTCCGGATGTGGCGCAGGACAGGCTGCAGGTTCATGTAGAGGCGGTGGCTGTTACTCAGGAGCTGCAGAAGGTGTCTGGAGCGCATGGGGCACCCTGTGTAGTAGATGAGCTTCCTGGCTGAGGGCAAGCCATCTGGCAAAATCTCAAACTTCTTCCCCTGTGGGGGGAAGGCATGAATCAGATCAGGAAGAAAAGTATCCGATGTGCCAAGCTCCCCTTCATTTTCTAGTCAGTAAGGAAAACTACAGACTCAGAAATAAATGTATAAAGCTCCATCCAAAATTCCCGGAGGATAAATGACTGTTTTCCCTTTCAAAAACGTCACAGGACAGAGGATTACCAAAAATTCAGGGAAGTGCCTAGCCAGGGTCTTCTGGTTCCATCTTTGGTTTCTCTGGCTGGCCAGGCCATTTACATAACGGAGAAGAGAAGGGCCCATCACAAAAGCATCCTTAAATGTAATCCCAACACCCTAACTCAGTAAACAAGACAACAAATTCTAGAAGCGTAATGCATTCAAATATCTGTTGAACACTTACAATGTACCAAACACTTTGCTAGGCCCTGAGAAAATAACAGCGCAGAGGACAAAGTCCCTACCCCTATGTCACTACATTCTGGTGGGAGAGATGGTAAATAAACACATAAAATAATTGCAGCTTATGATAAATTCTGGTAAGGAAATAAAGGAGTTATGATAGTGAACAATAAAGGATATCTATTTAGGGTTTAGAAAAAATGAAAAACTCTCTAGTTGGATAAAAGAGGGAGCTGGAAGCCGGAAGGACACTTAGAGGGATGAGACAGGAAGGAGAAATAAGAGATGGAAGTAGCGTAAGTATCTTTCTGTCCGTAGAGGAATCTCATTCACTAGGTTTGGGATCATTCACATAAAGTTCTAAGTTGAGGGCAAGGGTTTGGAAAAGTTCCTTACAGTTATGGAATGTTACTAACTCCTTTAACTTTCCTGACAATGAATAGGGCAGCAGGACTACAGAAAGGAATATTCCAGGCACAGTGATTCTCAGCTGGAGAGGAGAGATAAAACAAAGAGGGAGGCATATTCTAACTACACACTTAAAGTCAGTGCAAAGCAATATGGGTTTGTGTAACTCAGACATGGATGGAATTTACCTCTCGACTTCCCATTTTAAAAGGAACCAACATTGGATGTCAATGCTAGAATGCTTATAACTTACACTTAATGAGCACTAAGCATGTATTAACTCACTTAATCCTCACAAGTCTATGGGGTGGGGGGCGGGGACAGTCAATTATCCCCATTTTGGAATGAAGAAACCAAGGCACAGAGGTGTTAAGTGATTTCCCCAGGGTCACACAACCAGGCAGGGCTGGGCTGGCTGCAAGAAGAATCATCTGGGAAGTTTGCCAAAATAGATTCCTGGTCTCCACCCCAGACCAACTGAATCAAAAATCTCTTAGGTGAGGATGATGAGGCCCAGAAATCTAAATAAGCTCCTCAGATGCAAGTGATGCACAACTAGATTCAGGAACCACTGGGTGCAGGACCCTTAAGGAATTCAATTTCTATAAATGTATTTTATTACTTCTTAATTGGGGACATGAAGGGGGCAAGTGGGGTAATAATTTGCTCATTTATAAATAGCTCCACTCCTTTCCCAAAGAGCTTGAACGAGAAAGAGCCAGTGAGTAGGAGGCAGGTCAGGCCCCATTTAATGTATGAGTGAAGTGAAATCAGATTGGACTGTGCCCAATGTAAAGTCAGAAACAGGTCTCTTAACTCCCAGGGCAGTGTGGAGTCAGTGCCCAAATGCTATCTGGCAACAGAGCCCTTTATTTATATAGGCCATCTTCCTGATGGAAAGAAAGAAGCACATGTGTCCTAATCCTTATCTTCCTCCTTTCTTTGTGTATTTTTTCCAATAATTTCTGAACAAAGCGAAATTATGAATTTTAACGACCACTAGAAATACATATAATTAACCGTAATTCTTTGAACCCTCGCCCAAATGGATACAGCTGACAAAACAGTGAAACAGCTGGGAAAAATCAAGAATTTGCTCCAACAAAAGAAAGTGTATCATTCTCAATAATCTAAAAGTAAAAGTACTTTTCCTGTTAAGAATTGCAGTTCTTTCTTTATAATGATGAGTTTCAACAGACAGATATTAATAGAAACATCTTTTTATATCACTCTTTATTCTTTGCTCAAGAGAAGTTAACTTCCACAAGAAATGGCCAACCCCCATGCTAAGAGTAATTTACCCTCTGATTACAGCTTTCTGTTTTCTAATCCCTCTGCTGTACATTTTTAAAAACAATTCTGTTTGATGAATTCATCTTGAACTTTTCCCCATCACATTTCTTCTGAAACTAGAATAACTTAGGGTAGAGTGGTGGGGACCATATACACAAATTAAAATTAGTAATTTCTTTTGCTATAAGACTCAGTGTTTTAGGTTCACTACTGAAAAGTGGCAAGGATTATAATTATACCACATGCATAAGAATATAAGACAGCTAACTATTTTCATCTTCAATTTTGAGAAAATATCAAGTTTTGTGCCTGAAACAATATTTTGTTTAAAAAAACAAAACAAAAAACAATACAAGTCCACAAAAACAAAAAACTGAGTATTTTAAGTCAGTTATTTTAAACTCACCACAAACACCAACTTTCCAACATTGGTCCAAGGGAAATCATAAAGTAATTGTTTCTCTTCATCTAAATTCTGTGGAAAGAATTATAAGAGTTACTTATAACTCTTACAAGTAATGCACAGAGAGCTACTGAGGAAACTGACAGATATTCTAAAATAGCTCTAACTTCTTTCCCAGAAAACTAAAATACAGTAATTAACATCTGAAAGAGGTCCCCAACTCTCTTTGGAGATATGCAGACAGTAATTAAAAGAGGAGTGATACAATTCTGTCGCTTTTGGTTCCTGAGTGACTGTGTTAACCTGCCCTTTTAAGGCAATCTTTTCCCTTCTGGCCTATCCCTAAATTTAAATAAAAAGTCCAGAAGACTCAGGCATTCAAGAGATGAGATAAGGCACTCAGACTTTCATAACTGGATATTTTGCCTATATCGAAGATAAGGCATCCTTATATTCTCCCAGGTCTCACAGAGGGAGGCATCTCTCTCCCTTGTTTATGGCTGTAGCATAAAACCATCCCACTTGTAAAAGGATGATGGTAACTACTTACTCAAGGGACAGGTTTTATCAAAAAATTGTAACGGAAATTGAAATGTCTGGTCAGTCACTGTATTAAAAAGTCATTTTTCTTTCCACAGTTATAGATGCACCAGATGATAAAAAAGAATATTAAAAATCAATGACACACAAAGAAAAATGTCTGGATATTAATGATCTGTGAGTGATGAACTGTGGCCAATCTTTGGTTTGTTGTTTTCTGTTCTAGAGGACTTATTAGTGTCAAGGATCAGACTGCTTCACTTCGACTATCCCACCTTATCTACATCTGTGCTAGACAAATAGGAAGTAATGACCAATCAATGGCTGGATATGGACCAGTGAACCTATCACAGGACCAGGCAGGCACACTGCCAGAGTAAGACATAGTGGATGCCATTTGACACTTTATTTCTCATTAACTAACCTGAAAAATCTGTATTCCCCGCATGGTCAATCCAAGGGTCAGAGAAGCTTCAATTTCCCTTTTATCCTATAGGAATAAAATTGTATGAAAAAGTATGTTTTTCTTCTATAATGAACAATTCAGCACCAAAGAAAAGAACCAAAGATAAATTTCAGGATTAGAAAGCTTTTGACTTAAAATAACTTTGCTTGTCTTTCTGCATTCCTTGTTTTCTATAAGATTTAAGAAAATCATGGGCACATATTAAATCAGTAATGGTATTTTCTACTTTCTAAATCCCTGCGATTTCAAAGTTTTAGTGTTTTTACTATATTATATACACTTTCATATCTGACAATATTCTAAATATTTGTGTTACTGAGAACTCCAGTAAGACTATTTTGCTGCTTTTACATCATTTCTTTAATCTTCTCTCTTATGCTTAATCTTTTTTCAGAAGTTAGAATCTTGACTATAAGGTCGTAGTTATATTCTGAGATGTACTAGACTTTATATGTTTAAAACTGGTTAAATCTCCCAACTCTGAAAACAAAGTCAGAGGCAAGCCTGAATAGTTAATGCCCTTTCATGAAGATAGCTAATAAAGTTATAAAAGCTTTACATTCAGTTAGTCTTGAAAGAAAATACTTATGTTTAAGAAGTTCAATTATCACTTGCCAATATGATATACATTCTACCAGCTAAACCATAAAAAAAAAAAAAACTACTACAACAAGTATAAGGGAAAAAATTGTACAATTAAGAATGTATTCTGAACTTGGCCACATCTTCTAAGTGCTCATCTTTAACAAGTGGATATAAGGTGTAAAGTTCAAACTAGAAAACAAAATTGCTGAGTAACTAAAATACTTTCATTATGAGATTTCTCAATAAAAACAATAAATGAGTACATGCAGATCTTTATTACATTTACTGCCAGTTTTTGCATGATCATGGAAAGGAATATTTTTAGAAAATGCATCCTTACCTGGCATAGTAAAGAGAAGCCACAGCCTATTTTCACTATTGGGGCTTTTTTTTCCCATTAATACTCTTTACATCAAGAAAGGCACACACAGTACAGGTTTAACAGGAGAAACAAATCCATCACTATGAGCTTAGGCCAATTTCCCTTTCAAGGCTGTTCTGATTGCTTCCTGAAATAAGATTGTGCTCATAAAAATGCTGGTAGTGCGTGTATGAGGTGCATATTACTGGGAAAGAGGCACAGAGGTTTTTGTTGTTGTTCTTGTTGTTTTAAGTTTCCTGTCTTCTGTCTCCATTTTATTAACAGGACTTAAATGAAGCAGTTTTAATGGCGGCCACGTGATTTCTTTAAAGAATGAAAATTCTGCCTATAAGGAAAACATATCTACTTCCCCACCTCATTCAGTTCACTAGTATTAGTTATCTTGTTTTAAGCAGACCAGAATGATTTTCTATGACACATAAAAGTAGTGCACTTTAAGCAAATTGAAAAATTAATTTTTACATGAAAGATAAACTGGAGATATCTACTTCACTAAAGGATTCCTAATAGGAACTTAATAGGATTCTTTAAAATACCAAAGCTTCCCTACAAAATAAAAAGCAACCAATATTTACTGAGCATTCACTAATGTGCCAGGCACTCCATCTGGTTATTTCAGATTCACCATCTTGTTGAATCTTCCCAACCTGTGATATGTATAGGATCATTTCCACTTAACAGATGCCCAGGATTGTAGCAACAGTTGCCTAGGATCCCAGCAAGAGTGATTGCTGATGGAGGGTTTATAAAGCCACAGTCTTTCTGATATATCATTCATACTTCTAATACATTTAAAAATATAAATTTATTGTCAAAAAATGTCATTTATTTGCATTTTCTCAGATAAATTGAGGTGTCACAATGAACTCCCTTAAAAGAAAAAAAAGAACTCAGTCTTCCAGGAATTTAGCTGAAGAGATCTTGTGGAACTCTATGCCTTTGAAAGATGACAGGGCATTAACAATGCATCTCTTGCACATGAAAGAGAAAAAATAACATCCTTTGCTCTCTTTTTAAGTCTTTTGAACCAGCCAGAAAAATTACCCAGCAATATATCCAAACTACGGTCTAGTCTCCAATTGTCTAGTTACGTTAATCTTACCACAAAGGATGTAGGAGAGATAACAAACCTAATAATAACAATAATAATGGTAAAGGCAACACGTTTAATTTCATGCCTAACACGTGCTAGGTACTGTTTTTAAACACTTTTCACCCACTAATTCCTTTAGTCTTCAATAAACCTCAGAGTTTATTGGCTTTGTTACCATCCCCATTTATCTATGGGGAAACTAAAGCACAGAGAGGCTAAGTAACATGCCTAAGGTTACACAGTAAGGGGTGAAGCTGGGATTTAATCCCAGAAAGGTAGGCCCAACAGATCACACTCTGAACCACTTCATCCTATTTGGTTGGAGAATAAATATACCTTTGAATACTTAAATGGGAATTCAAGGGTTCTTGCCATGGAAGTGATACTTGTGAAATAGGGAGAGGAGTGGGAAGGAGAAGCAGGAGAGAAGACAGAACATATTGCCAGTGATTCCCTGCAGAGCCCACCCCAGTTATTATTTGGGTCTGTGACCTCTGACCCAGGATGGAAAAATGAGGCTAGAGACACAAGAACACAAAACACAAGAACACAGGAGAAAGGCAGTATCAAACTTTAGAGTGACAGCACAGAGTCAGTGGTTTAAGCACACAGGCTCTTGTCAAGTAGACCTGGGTTGAATCCTGGCTCTTACTAGTTTTGTGATCTTTGGTGTGTATCCTGGTCTGTAAAATGAAGATTACAGTCCTATCTTATAGTTATGAGGATTTTTAAAAGAGGATAAATATAAAGTGGCCCCATAAACACAATACTCCATAAACATTAGCTATTGTGGCGATGTTCTTATTACTAATGGATACATGCAGGTACGGCTTCACTTCAAGGAGTATTAAAAATTACTGATCGAACAAGTTGCAAATGTTACTCCCCAAGGCAGAAATGCGGATTTGGGAAGGAGAAAAATAACTATTTCATAATCGCTGAAAAGCCAGATGCACAATTTACAGCCACTTGTTATCTCAATACTAGGACCATTAAAAAGACTCCATTCTGCTTCCAGGACTGAGGAAAAGCATCATTGACTCCAAGACTGACCAATGATGACAAACAGCGGTTGAAATGAAATTCTTTTAAAAGCCCATTAAAAAAAATTAAAAGGACAACTTTAAATAAAAACGTCTCCTGATCAAGGAGGTATGGCTGCAGACCTACTGCAGTTTTGTACCTTATACAATCTGTAGTAGTGAACGGCAACATCATCCAGTCGGACGGCCTCTTTGATATATTTAAGATGAGCCTCAGAAGCTGTCAGTGCGAACTGATCTTTGTGCATGTTTGGAATGTGCTTCAGGATGTAGTCCTTCCCTCTCTTGGAAACAACCTGTTGGAATACAATGGGAGCGCAATGCAACATTTGTTGGAGGGATGCAAATACTACCCTCATCTCCCAAATGATGAGAACCGAAAACAGGCCATGTAAATTGGCTGATTTCCATTAGAAAATTCCCACGCTTATTCTTTTTTGATCATCTGTTATGTGACCTGGCTGAATCAGCTAATACTAGAAGCTACAGAGTCAATTTAGCTGTAGTACTCCATATCTAAGAAGAAAAATCACAAGAAATGGGAAAAATATGTTCTCTTGGCTTTAAAATCACCAACAAAGAAAAACCATGCAAACTTGCACAATTTTGTCCACCTCACTGCTTATACTTGCAGAATTATTGGTACCATGAAATGCAGCCACCGTCAGCACATCTTCAGGGTCCGGATTCTACTTAACTCTTCTAAAATTACAGCCACAGAGTGGGAGGTTCTAAATGTTAATCCGAAGAAAGCAGGGGACTGCGAGGAATTCTCAGAAACATTTCTGGTTTTTGCGTAAGAGGCTGATATGAACACTCTACTCAAATGCTTATGAGAAAACAGTTTCACTCAAATATTCATTACAATTCACTGCAACTTCAGTTTTCAACAGACAGTAGTCAAAGCTTTTAGATATCAAAAATATATAGTATCCAGAAGCTGCAGGTTCAAAGAAAGGTGTTGATAAAAGTCTTAGCTGATTTCACGAAGATTATAAAATATGGAAAGAATTATGCAAAGTGAACAAAAAGCATTTTAGTGCTTAAAATGACCAGGATTTGAAAATTAGAGAATTTTTAGTTTTATTATTGTTTTTATAGTTACTGATGTTTTGTTTCTTCCTATGAATATTTTAAGGAGAATTAAACATGATGAGTTATTATTGGCCAATAATCAAGTTTTGCTGAGAACTCAAGTTACAGATTTTTCTTTCTAGGTTCCTTTTACATGGAGATCACCTAAATCAGTACTTGTCAACCTTTTTCAGGTCAAAGAACCCCTAGAAAATAATATCTGTAAGGGCAATGAAGTAGATGATTTTGGTGATCCCAAGGGTTGAGGAAGCTGGTATCTCAGCACCCTGGGTGCCATGGCACACTAATGAGAAGCTCTGCTTTAAAGACCAAGGGTCACTGAGTACCTGATGATAACTAAGGGAATGTAAATACAGGTTAACTTTGGCCCAACAGACATTGCTATGTAATAGCCTGACATCTTTTGTGGGTTTTCTTGAACAACTGAAGCACTGTCAGCCAGTGAACAAAAACTTATATTGAGCACCGTGATGTGAAATGCTGAAGAAACAGAAAAGGTTAAGTTTATGCCTGTCCTTTAGAATATGCTAAGAAATACTTAGATCACTGGGTGCAAGAGACAAACAGAGAATTTGAAAATAAAATACTTATGTTCAGGGTCTTATTGAGCCCAGAGGAGGGGCACTGGGCACCTAGACAGTCTGCCCAGGGAACCACACCTGAGCTGATGAGCAGGAGTAGCCAGGTGAAACAGGGAGTGGGCCTCACCAGCTAAAGGAGCTGCAGACAGAAAGGCCCAATGTGTGAAACACCACAGGAATTGCTGGGTGTTGCTAAAACACAACACACAAGGTGCAGGACAACCAGAAAGGAAGCTGGAAAGGCTGGCAGGGACCCATGCTGGGAAGTTCCTAGGTCATGCTTGGGAGCCTGGGCTTCACTCCGAAGATGAAGGTTTAAATCAGAAGCAAAAACAACTCTCTGCAAGCTGTGAGTAAAACCTGAAGCAGGGACAACAGGGACAACTGCAGGAGTGCTGATGACAGCTGAAGCCTGGGAAACATGAAGAACCACTACGGGGAGGACACGTGGTAATGTTTAGGAAGTTAAGAGCAACAAAAATACAAGCGAATCTTATTTCTTAAGCTGGGTGATGCGGAATCAAGGGTTTATGTTAGAGGATGTTCTCGTTGACTGGATGGGGCAGGGAGAAAGAAGGGTGATAAGAAAGCGCCCCGAGTGACTCAAGTTTCTAGGTGATCGGGGGGATGGCAGTGCCACTGGCTGAGGTTAGGAACACAGGGGTAGGAACGCAGAGAATTGAGGTGTGAAGAAGATGAATTTGATTTGGGACATTCTGAGTGTGAGGTGCCTATGGGTAAACAGCTGTCTTACAGACATAGGGGAGAGAAACAGATTCAGGAGGTGCCAGTACATAGGTGGTTGTAAAAAGCATTAATTTGGAGGAGATCTCCTGGGATGTGAGTGACTAAGTGTCAAATGCAGCAGAGAAATTCAGGAAAAGCAGTGAAAAGTGTCCACCGGATTTGGCAATTTAAAGGTCACTGCTGGCTTTAAGGACAGCACCATGAGTGGAGGGGGTGGTGAGGAAAGAAGGCAGATGGATGTGGGTTGAGGATTACACGTCGAAGTAAAGAAGCTAAAAAATCAAATATACATCGTCACTTTTTCAAGAAGCTTTACTGAGAAGGGAAGGAGAGATTGGTAGGTCTTCTTTCCCTCCCTCCTTTCTTCCCTGAGGATGGGGAGGTGTGAAGCAAACAAAGTATGTCCTGACTTAAGAAGAGTTAGTTGGGGTAGAGGCTGAAGATACGGGAGAGAGAGACGTCTCGGCAGAGACCTAGAGGAAGAATGGGAAGCGATATCAACAGGGTGGGGATGGAGAAAGGACCTCTGAGACAGTCAGTGCTCAAATAACCTAAGTTTTCTTGCTGAAATAAGGGGGTTGCTCCTCTTTTGAGAGTGAAGGAGATGGCGGTCAGATCAAGCAGTTTACTTATATTTGTTTCCTCAACACAGGAGAAGCTGTGAATGATCTCACCTTTTAAAGAGTAATGTGTTTCTCCCTTCGAAGGGAAAAAATGCTGCTTGAATTAAGAGGACATAAGACGGTCAAGGCCATGTAAATGCCAAAAGAAGGCTGGCAAATACCAAGTTCCACCATCTTTACGATGGATAGCAATCCTCTTCATCATAACCCATAAGCAGATTGAGTCCATCGAGAGACTGTAGGTGCCACGCTCTCAAGTGTGAAATGTGTATCTGGGCGTCATGGAGGGTGTACTGGCCATCAAACATCTGGGTTCCCAGTTCTTGTAGCAGCATGACTACCCACACAATGAACTAGAAATGTGCTAGAGAAAACACTTCAGAATTTGAAAACAGTGCCTACCCAAGATGGGAAGTAAGCCTCGGGCTCAAAGTATTTTCCATAGTGCTTATTCCTTTTGAAGTTCCCAAGATCAGCCTGCAGAGCGAAGGCTGCCAGCAGGAAGTAGGCCTCCTCTCGGAGCACACACTGGGAATGAAGAACTTGTTTTCTCAGGTGCCAGTAATAATAGTATCTTGCTGCTCTGTCACTAGGAAAATAAAACAGAACTCACATTTTGATGGAACAATCTAAAGGCATGTAAACAACCCCAATCCTGCTATCCATCTGGTGACAAGAGCTCTTCTGTTCCTGCTCCCTCCTCCCCCCTCCCTCCTCACTCACTGAAAAGGGGGAGGTTGTAGCTAATACCGGATTGCTGCCTAACTGCTGCTTCACCAAGTTCGCAGGGTGTCAGGACCCCAAGTCAGACTACCCAGACTGCAAAAATAACACTTCCTATGGCCAATAGCATTTGATTCATTCAGAGAATGGAAAACAGATCTGAATCATTCCACTCCAATGTGGGATATACTACATTGAACAAGTATTAGAAGCCTAGGCATCTGTTGTCTGTATTAAAATAATTTTGCTACAATAATGCTGCACACATGACACAAATAAGGACAAATCTGAGGAGACAATCCTGGCTTGAATGTTATGCTGTCCTTTTTTGTTTTGATTTTCATCTGAGCACATTACAAATACACTAAGGCCCTTTTCAAAATATTTCTGTTTATATGCCCTACTAGAAAAGAATTTGCCTAACTATGAATAGTCTTTTTTTTCCTCTAAGAATGAATAAGCTGAAAACTCTCCTTAAATCTTTTTTTTTTTAATTAAGTGGCTGTTACTTTATGGGTGTGATTTTATAGGCACATGTAAGAATCATGATAGTCGTCACAAATGGAAATACGAATAGTGCACTCATTACAATCCATTGGGTCAGAAATAAATACAGTCCCCATTAAATACACTGAGTAAGAAGTGCTGATTGGGGAAAAATATGGTCAAGCTCCAAAAAATGTCACAGGCAAACAGGACGCCTCTGTGATCAAAGTAAAAATGCAAGAAAAAAATGTGTGTGTGTGTATGTATTTAATGAGTATTTGTCTCCCTATTACTTTAGGTTGAATGTTCACCTGAGATTAATAGCTCATTAGTTGATGATAATAAAAACATACGGGTTTACTTTAACCAAGACTGTGTTTAAAAATGAAAGGTTTAAAATTTAAAAATAAAGCATTTATGTAATTTTTTTTCCCTTATGACTTTTCAGAGCACTTCTTTTTATAATGTTGAGTACACAATGATTGGACTAGCTCATCACTGGGGAAAAGGGCAGAAGCATGGAGATCAATTAAACATTCATTAGTCCCAGGGGGCTAATTAGTGGCTAAATAATATATTTTCCTTCTTTCCAGCACATTCCATTCCAATTAAGTAAACTTAGAAAAAGTTTTATATAAACTGAGAATAACTAGAAAAGTTTCTCTGCTTTAAAAACATTCTTTACGGGCTAATATTTTTTACTTTTTAATTTGCATATGGCAGTAACATAAATATTAAGAGCAAATCTCAGATACAACTCATTAGCCACATGTATCTTTGTCCCTTTTACGTGGGGTTTCTCAAAATTTAAAAATAAATAAGTAAAACACAGAGTTCACATTTCTAGTATTTTCTATCAGCCAACAAAATCACCTCTGAAAGTCTTCCAGCACTGAATCCTCCTATATAAATAATAAACTGAGCTTCTAAACTGGGGAATTCTGAGTCTGTATCATGAGCACAGTATTATTCATGCACCTGCCTCCAGAAAAAGAATCAATTACCTGCCCTTGCCAAACTGCATCTAAGATTCTCACAGGATACCTCCACTGGGCGTAATCTTAGCTTTAAAGCTACTGCCAAGAACAGAAGCAAGACCCCAAAAGTGAAAAGAAAACCAGGCTATATAAACACCCATGCATTTTTATAGGAACGAGTTCCTGCTGCTGTTCCACTCCTCACACCACCACCAGAAAAGAATATAATCCATTAACCAACTTTCCACTTTACACGAGTGCTAGTTCTTTCTTATCTTTTTGGTGACTGATTTGTTATTGAAAATGTGGAGTAGAGAAAATGTGAGCTGATGAGATTGTTAACATTTTCACTGATAGTCTAACATTATCACTCATTCATTCAACAAATGTTTATTGAGTGTCTACTGTACCTCTGTTTTAGGGACTGAAGATACATGCGTGCGTAAAAAAAATTTTTTTTTAATCCCTGCTCTTTTATATTCTAGCAGGTGGAGACAAACAATAAACACAAGTACTTTATCTGATATGTTAGAGGATGAGTACTGTAGAAAAATAACGGTTCGGAATGTCTCCCTGTCCTCATACCTGATCAATCGGCCATTTTCCACATAGTACTGCACACGGAAGTGGATGATCATAGGGGGTCCAAACTGGTCAATACCCTAAACAAAGACATGCGTAAAAATCAGGCTGTTTTTAGTTACTTCAAAAGTGGGTTTCAAAAACAACAAATACCATTATTTACAAGTAACTTTTTAAACACTAAAAGGTTTGATCTACTTCTAATGAGTAGGGGCTTGCAGCGGGTAGACAGTTGTCTCAGTTGTCCTAGATGGATACCAAGTTTATGTGAAAACGGGAAGTTTTATAACTATATCTGATACTCATTCACTGTAATGCCAATGACAACATACGGGAAGATAAAAATAAATGCCAGTGGAAATTTCTAGCTGAGATCCAGCTCCTCTCTCAGCTCTGTCCCCTGTGGTGACCATTTGCTCCTCATTACAATGTTCTGTTCGTCTGACATTCCACATACCAAATGCTAACATGCTGTTTGTTTATTTAGACCTTCAGGTTCCTTACTTTGTAGTTGGCTTTGAAGTAGCCTTCCAGTTTACTCCAAGAATTCTTAAATACAAATTGGAGGATTGAGGATTAGACACTGGGGATTATTACTGATTTGCGAGGGGGTGATCTTGAAAACACTAGGTAAATTCCCAGTGAATGCTCCCCTATGCAAATGGAAGGCACTGGTTCAATAAAGTAACAAAATATCAAATGTAAGGATAGTAAAATTGGATTTTAAAATGACTAATAATTTCTAGACCATCAGTTTTGACAACTAACGTGGCCAAAGAACAGGAACAAATACTTTTTCCATGCTTTTCATTTCAAAATATTATCCCAAGATTACTAAAAGGTTATTATCCAATATTATTTTAGCAGATATTCAAAATCTATTGCTACATGCTATAAGCTATTAATACTTCACTAATGTGATATTTTAGAACTTATAATTCATTTCGCTTTCCCAATATTTACTGTATAAAGTGTTAAGATATTTTTCTAATGTATAATAATTAAAATAAACCTTTTAAAAAATCAAAAGAATTTTGCTCATAAATGTAATCTCACCCAAGTGACTTCGTATTGTCGTACCTTGCTGGCCTCTTTCTTCCATTCTTTTGGACAATACTTATAAAGCTTTTGTGACAACTCCATATACACATGTTCATTATCTGCACATTAAAAAAAAAGGAGACAAGGTGATAAAGGATAGATTTTTTCAAAAGAAAAGAAATGGGTTTTTCAAAAAAGCCTCCAGATTTGTGAATGTACTCTGAATTCACATATTACCAAGAAAACTCAACAGGATATTAAAAGATAAAAGGTTCTGTGGGATAGACATTAACGACAAGCTTTATGAATTATTTTGCTTTTGCAATACAGAACATGTCTCGTTAAAAATATGTTAATATTTAGAAGAAGTATTAGATTCCAACTCTTACTTTTACTTAGTTTCTGGGGTCGTTATAACTTACAGTTTAACTTCAAACACTGTGGGTGTTACTCGGTTTTAGAAAAACATGCTCTTGTTTGGCTCACAGAGGACTCATCTCATAAGTGCAAAGTAATGAAACAGGGCAGAAACACCGCCTTAATTGTTACGTAAGAAATTAGAAAACACTGATGAGAACCAACCCATTTCCAAGTGAGGAGCCTGACCCATGTGTTTTGTGAAGAATGGTCTTTAAGACCCATGTGCTTTGTGAAGAGAAGTCTTTTAGACTATTCCTTCTCTGTCTCCTCCACATAAAACAGCATGAAGAAATGATAAAGCATTACTCGCACTGCCTTTGGGATTGACCTTGTGGGAAGAGGAGAAGAATCTTATGCAAAACAAGAATGAATGCCAAAATATTTCTTCAAGGGAATGATGTTCTTAAGATGAACAGAAAATAAGACTGCTAAAAAACCCATATAAAAATGATCTAAACATGTGAAAACAAGCTGGTAAAAAATGTAAAAATTTTCTGATTTCCCAAATGGACTCTTTTAAAGAGAGAGATATTTCATATGAAAAGCCTTCCTATCTTGTACAGTTTTCAATCTTTTTAAAAAAAACTCCTTCTTTTTCCTCTAACCATCACTATGGGGGCATGCTCTTGGAAAGCCCTGGATACAAATGTACTCATTCTGGAAGAGAAGTGTGTCTCTTTGACTGCTTCAAGGATAACACACTTGACCACGCTGTCACTCATGACTGAATGTTGGAGTTTGACTGGAAAAGCATCATAAGAGAACAGGAAGGGTAAAGCTACTTTTTGTCTATGAATGGCATATTAAGTCAACCAGTTTGGACGAAACGGGTAAGGAAGAGGTCCCCAAACCAAGAGGACGCTACTAAAATCCACTTATCACGTCAACTAAAACTATCTCCCATCTCTCTTATGTTACCAATTAAACATGAAATGGACAAGATCAGACAACCCTACTGTTGAATCTGATTTGTGTTTGGCTTGAGTTCCTGTCTGAAGAAGCAACATAATGAATAGAACAGACTGTTCACCATAATGGCACATACATATTTTTTTAAACTATCACTGTGTCTCTACCATCTGACAGTTTGACCAGAGCTTTGTACTTCAGGAATTCTCAAGCACACATCAATCCTGAAAACAGGTGGAACAGTGATTTCCATTAGACCTGAGAGAAAGCTGAAATGGAGAGAAGGCAAGGGATATGTCTGAAGCCACATGGCTAGCTAGTGGTAGAACCAAAATCAGAACCAGGTCATCTGATTCCTGTTCCAATGTTTTTTTGCCATCCTGCAATCTCTCTTTTAAAAAGGACATCTGAGTGCTCGCTTCGGCAGCACATATACCAAAAAGGACATCTGAAAAACTCTTATTCTGAAACCTAAGGAAGCTGTAAACTGGTTTTATGAGATTGACTTGTTCAACAACAAAGATCAACAGTCTGGCTGTAGCTGTAGTAAGAATTAACTCTGAGTACAAAATAAAAGTAAGGTTACTTAGAATCTGTAGGGCATCTTATACCCCCAGACCCTTCCTTGAAAGAATGACTGAGGTGTGTACTAATACAAGGATAGAGCTGAGCATCTGTGTTTTTACTGCTTTCACTACCACAGGAAGAAGCTGAAGAGCAAATGGCTGGTTCCTCACCTCCTGCTCCATGCTCTCTGGCCTCTCCAGAGCTGTCTTTTTAGACAACTGAAAACTGCTCACTCACATTTTGGAGCTGAACTTGTTGATCAGTTGATCATGATATACTTTCCAACACGGCAAACCTAAGCACTTTATGGTACTAACCAGATTCTCAAGATATCATAAGCCTTTAAATTGAAACCAATTCCAATAGTATAAAATAATTCATATCCAAATACAAAATATAGATAAATTTCACAAAAAAAGGTCTCCTTGGAAAACTGAGCAAAGATTTGAAAGGTTTTTGGCATCTAGAAGACTAACTTAGAGAAATCTTAAAATATGATTTGAAAGAAGAACGCTTTAAGGAATGGCTGCACTTAAACCCTGGGAACTTAACTCTAACTAAGGTGTTATTGGCAGAGAAAGCTTATATGGAGCCCTTTGCTTGAAAATCTTCTCCACATAAAGTATACAGAAGAAACTGATCCCATTTCTCTAAGTCATGTGTTCTGACTGGAAAAAAGAGAAGGGGCAAGGAAGGAAAAACAGAAAATAAGAGTAAATTAATAGATCACTTTGTTATACTATATATTCAACAGCAAGAGAAGCTGAATAGAGGAAAGTCAGTTTTATTATGTCTAAATGTCTTTTAATGTTAAAAATTATAAAACAAATTAAATTACAAAAACATCCAATTTCCTACTAGCGCCAGCTGCTCCCTGAGTGCAAAGAAACAAAAATCAATCTTAGTTCATTAAAACATAAAAGAGCAAACACATAAAACCCAGACTCCTAAAGAGGAACAAATTTTTAAGTTCAAACCATAATAAATTCATGACCTAAAATTCTAAACTTGTAAGAAATACAGAACAGTACTCATATTAAAATATGAGTACTAGATTAAAAATCATGATCAGTTTATGGGTATTTTGACAATCATAATTACATAACAATATGCTCAATTTAAGTTACAGCTATAAAATGTCATTTCCTCAGGGACAGTTGGCTAACTCCATCAGAGATGGGATTGAGACTTACTTTGTATAACACTGAGTCCAAAGAGGTGACAGTCCTTTAGCCTGAGTAGGTCACACACCTGGACCAGCAACTGGTGACACAGAATTTTAACCTATAGGAAAAAAGACAAAAACAAACACACATTTAAGATAACAATTCAGCGAAGTCCAGACAGTGAGCCACAATCAGGCAACGTAATGCATCTTAAATACATGCCTTGAAGGGACAAGCTGACACTAGCAAAACGACAGTTGGTTTATGGAAATCACTTTAATCTGCAGCTGTGTTTCAATAATAATGATCACAATTCAAATTTCTACAACCTGGTAATAAAGTACCACTGCAATCTTGTACAAGACTCATAAATCTTAGGATACATGGATAAGGCCTTACTCTATAGCTGTGGTGCATGATAAATATGTATTTCAGAAGGAACCCCAAATAGCCTAATCAGATTATCAAAATTATTAATTTGGCAAGTATCTTTACAAAGAAAGTTTTCCTCTTGATGGTCTAAACAAAATGCTCACATACTGCACAATGAGTGAATACCTAGCTTTTATTTACTTTAATAATTGACACATCTTGTAAGTACCTAAACCAGGTTCTTTTTCTGAGTCCTAGTATAATTCAAACATAATAAAACCATATTAATTTGGAACTCTGGGGTTAAGTTATTCTGAAAAGTCACATGTTGAACGATAACAGTCTTTAAAAGATACAGTTCTAATGACTTTTCAAATGTTTAATGAAGTGTTTTGGGAGACAATAATTCTAATGAGTCTGCCTTGTTGAATTCAGAACCACTAAAGCTTATTAGTATTGGGATTGACACTAAGAGACCACGTGGGTCAATTTCTTCATCTGATAGAAGTAGAAAAGAAAAGCCAGGCAGCTTGCAGTCATGCAACTAGTAGTGGCAGAGGCAGCAACTCACACCTTTGCTCATTTTGTATTACAATATTTTTGTATATGTATATTAATAAAATATGTGCAACATGACAGTTTATCAGTGTAGGTACATATATTGTGTGGCATTTCCCCTCGTATTTGTAATATTAACTTGCAACTTCTTTCTTCAACAATGATGACAGTTACAGTTTTAATGATTACAAATTCTAAATTAGTTAACTCTGAATTAATGACTTCTTATCATACCTTAATATGTAACTCAGACTCAGAAAATGAAAACATGTTGAGATCTCTTGACAATTGAAAGCCAAACAATTCAAAATGGTGACAATGTCAACTGGAGTAAGAAAAATAGGTTTACAGCTCTTTTCCACATTCACTGTTAAATGGCAAATAATCTGAAGCACCTTATCCACTAGAAAGTGCAAAAAGTATTTATGTAAGGCCAGAGAGTACCACTTAGGCTGTTTTAGAAGTTACAGGAACTCAGTGAAGCTGGGACAGTGTCTTATTTTATATTCAGGATATACAGCAGGCACTCAGTAAATGTCTGATGAACAAAAGCTAGGGATCTGATTTTCCTGTGGACTCCTCACCTTCCTTCTGTTCCATGACTACAGACGACTCTCTGACCCACTGAGCAGATCATTTAGTAATGTGCCACGTAAGAATTTAGGGAAAATGTATCAATACGCATCCACCAACACCACTGGGGGAATACATTTGCCAATAGGAAATCAGTATCATCTTCGTTCACTAAAAAGACTTTGGATTTGAGTTCTATATTACTGTGTTTCCACTTTACAAATAAGCTTAAATAAAGAAAATGATAAAGGAATGGAAAAAGTGTCTAATGTTAAATAAAATTGAATTAGATACTACAAATTTGAGACTTCAGATGTCATATAGTCTAGGACTTCTTTAATCTTTAGATTTGACTGTATTTTAAAATGTCATGGGACTTCCCTGGTGGCGCAGTGGTTAAGAATCCGCCTGCCAATGCAGAGGACATGGGTTTGAGCCCTGGTCTGGGAAGATCCCACATGCCGCAGAGCAACTAAGCCCGTGTGCCACAACTACTGAGCCTGCGCTCTAGAGGCCGTGAGCCACAACTACTGAGCCCACGTGCCACAACTACTGAAGCCTGCGTGCCTAGAGCCCGTGCTCCACAACAAGAGAAGCCACCGCAATGAGAAGCCCGCTCACCACAATGAAGAATAGCCCCCGCTCGAACTAGAAAAAGCCCGCACACAGCAACGAAGACCCAACACAGCCAAAAATAAATAAATTTTAAAAATATAATAAAAAAATAAAATAAAATGTCATATACAAAGCACTCTGGGTAAAACGTGATAAAACGTTAAAAGAAAAATTCCAAACCACACGGTGTATGCAAAATGAACTATGTTGTAACTTTGTGTAACTGCTGTTCAAATAATGCTGTGCATTTCCCCCCCACACCTTATATAATTATTATTGTTCCGCTAGTTTAAATCAAGTATTTGGAGCCTAACTGATAAAGCTCTTTAACAACTATTAAGGAAATAACAATGTTCTTGTTTAAAAACTGTAATTAAGTAAGGTTGTGGCTCTGAAGTCTTACCTGCTGTGAAAACAAGCTTGAGTTTTTTGCATTTGCATATTATGAGTCTTTAAGGCTACATTTTAGCTGACTGTGAAATATTTCAAGTTCTTTAATCTTCAGGAGCAATGGGAACATTAAAAAGTGCCATAGAGTATGAGGTATTAAGAATAAGAATGAAAGCATGATCTAAAAATATACTCTATATGGAACTTTCTAATAAAAACAGCATTTGATTCTCAATGTCAATGGTTTGATATTGAGCAAGAATGTTTAAAATACGCTCCAGAAAAAGAACTGTTCACTCTCTTCTCAGTGAAGAGGTGTAACCTCTTACCCATAATTTATATCACTCAAAAATTTTGTGGCTCCTACATTTACCATCATTTGATTTCCAAAAATTTCCAAGTTCCCATATTTATTACCTGATGATTAAAATCATTTAGAACAGTCCCTATTAGTTCAACTCATGGAGAATTAAAAATGACCAAAACACTAAATTTACCCCACATGCAGAAAGGCAACATTCTATCAACTACATTTGTCAGGGAACAAACTTTCTTTGTTTAAAAAAAAGTTTAGAAATGATTTAAAAAATGAGACCATTAATGAAATAGTTTTGTTACAGTTAATTTGTTCTACCACAACTCTACAAATATCAGCTGCTATTTTCCAAAGACAAAAATAACACTTTGTAGAACACGACAGGCCTTTGGCAGCCCTGAGTTGGCTTTCTAGCGAGGAGGGAACTCCATACTACTTAACCCAGTTCCTCCTCCCCGTCCTTTGGTCCAACAGCTTGCTTGCTAATGAGGAGTCGGGACATGGCAGGGCCGTCTATGGACCCTGGAATAAGAACAGGTCTACGTGGGAGTCAGACTCCACAGCTGAGTTTCATTAACAGTGAGACCACAGCTCAAAGAAATGAAAACAAGTGCTACTCTATTAAGTGCTCATTCACTGAGCAATTCCCAGGTACCACGCACTGTAATAAGCATTTATTCATGTTATGTCTTTATATCCTCACAATGTCCCTGTGAGGAGAGTAAGATTATCTCCACTTTATAGAAGAGGAAACCGAAGCCAAAAAACTAACTTGCCCAAGGTTGCAGAGTAAATTGTGAAGTACAGATTTCCACCTACATCCCCCATCCTACCCTAGACTTACTAAATCAGCATCTCCAAGGAGTGGAGTCCAATAGTTTGGGTATTTAACAAGCTCTCCAGGTAATTCTGATGGACATCAAGTTGTAAAATCACTGATCTACAGGAACGAATGGACTGGCTATCTGCCAGTCTGTTCTCTGTAATTATCTTCCTCAGCTAAGATTTTAGTACTAATTAATTTCTTAGAAAATTATAGTCAGCTCCTAGTATTCCTCATGAAGTCAGATTAGTCTTCCTTCTAACTTACCTGAGATCAGTAAGGTTTTGCCCCATATCCTGTATATGAGCATACACACACATAAACACATGTATACACATTCCACCAGATGAAAAGACCGAAGAAGTGGAATGGAGAGAAGTTTCCTAAGTGCTTATGCTTATATTTATGTATATTTAAAAATTTTAATTGATCTTTTTATATAACTGTATAAAAGAACTCAAATAGCATATTCATGTATACATGTAAATTACATTTTGATATATTCTGACAGTGCCCATACTGACAAAGAATGATAATGTTGCCAAAAATAACAGCCTATCACTTCACAAAACCAAAACAACTTCAGGTACCCTGAGTAGAAATGTAGCTAATCAAAGGAAATTCTGCCTAACGGATTGATAAAGTTCATTCAACAGGCAGGTTTGATGCTCAGACAATTCCTGTGAGCAAAAACAAGGTTACATTAGTAAATCTGTGAAGAAACTGTGGTGACTGACAGAATAAAACCAAAATAATTATGGTAATAAGCAGAATCTTCTCCTATTTAAACTTTTAATGGAGCTATTTAAATGTCATATAGCTTCATTATAACATTTAGAAATATTCTTTTATACAGCAATTGGGTTAAAAATATAGTTGCATATAGCAAAGAAAACTAATTCAAGGCTTGCACTAAGGCAATTTTTCCCTTAATTCCATCAGAATACAATCAGTGAAAGAATATGAAAGTTGATAATAGGGAGAGGGGTTGAAAAATGCTAGGCATGATTGTGGTTACATAAAACTGTTCGGCAGTCTCTACCAAAGCTAAACATATGTGTACTTCATGATTCACAATCCACTGTCGGGTATAAGCTCAGAAATGTATACATATGTGCATATACATAAAATGTTCCAAATAGTTTCATTTGTAACAGCCCCAAACTTAAAATAACCCAATATCCATCAATAATAGTTGGAAAAGAAACTGGACATATTCATACAATGAAATATTATACAATAATGAAAACGGAATTACTGTCACATGTGATAGAATGGATGACTTTCACAGGCCAAATGTTGAGTACATAAAATATACCCAGATATAAAAGTGAGCATATCACATAATTTTAGCTGCATGAAGTTCAGAAACAAGAAAATTACTCCATGGTGATAGAGGTGGGAATAGTCATTACCCTAGGGTGGAGATTACTGACTAGGAGGGATCACAAAAGATCTTTCTGGGGTACTAGAAATCTACTATATCTCAAGCTGGATGATGGTTACATGGATGTATACACTTGTAAAAATTCACTGAGCTGCTCACTGAAGATTCCTATACTTCACTGTAAGTAAATTATAAGCCAACTTTAAAAGTAAAAAATACAAAAAAGTATCATATTCCTCAATGTCCAGGTTAACTGAAAGAGTTAACTCTGACTCATGAACCATAAGCAACAGTTTAGTACTCAAATACACAGCCTATTCTTGAAATTGGCTAGACTTAGGCTACAGGTTACTATTAAAACAATGATCAAGCGCGTGTTAAAAAGCTAGCAATTATGTATTGCCATTTCACGTGTGTAGGTGACAACTCAAAATTATTTAAAAAGCAAACTCAGATATCCATAAAAATTGTATTTCAATAAAGGTTTAAAAATAGCAAAGTGTTCATGTTTCTATAATATAATAACCAAAATTCTCTTATTTTTACCAGACAAGAGAATGCTGAAAGCAGCTAAACTTAAGCCATAATTCAAAGTTTATACCTGTGTAGACCACTTTAATACCCCAATTCTCCCACATTATTAATGGTCTCATTCTGTAATGATTTCATCCTTAGCCATGTGGTCACTGGTGGGAACACCATCATTTAGACATTTCTAAAGTGGGATCTACTCACATTTATGATGATGTTCAGAGATTCATCGTTGGGAAGGAAAATACACACACTCCGGCGGTCTTGCATGACTCTGTTGTTATGGAAGTTCAATTTGTTCATTGTGTTGTGGGCTCTCTAGTGATCAGGGCTGGGCTCCGAGTCCTCGGCAATTCCTCTGGTTCCGAGCACTCCAAAGCCAAACTCTGCTCCTCATCACACGCCCTACAGAAGAAGCATCACGACGTTCGACTACGTGGGTTTCATAGCTGTAAAAAAAAGCCCAAAAGGAGGCTGTGAATAAAGGCGGTAAGGTTGGTGAGGAGAGAGAGGAGGAGAGAGACGAGGAGAGGAGCAGCAGCACGACTGGTCTCGTTGGCACAGGTACAGCACGTCTCACAGTGAGGGCTCCCTCGCTTAATCAATGAGAATGCACAGAAACGTACTCTGTGCTTTGCCCGCTATCAAGTGTTTTAAAACTTTCAGGGACTTCCCTGGGGGTCCAGTGGTAAAGAATCCGCCTTCCAACGCAGGGGATGCAGGTTCGATTCCTGGTCAGGAAATCAAGGTCCCAAACTAAGGAAACTAAGGTCCCATATGCCGCAGGGCAACTAAGTGCCACAACTACTGAGCTCACACACCTCAATGAGAGAGCCCGCGTACTGCAAACTACAGAGCCCACGCGCCCTGGAGCCGGCGTGCCTCAACTACAGAGCCCACGCACCCTGGAGCCGGCATGCCAGAGCTAGAGAGAGAAAACCCGCAGGACACAACTAGAGAGAAGGCTGAGCGCCATAATGAAAGACCCCAACTGTCTCAGTGAAGATCCCATGCGCTGCAACTAAGACCCAACGCAACCAAAAAAAAAAATAAGGAAAATAAATAAAATAACTATTAAAAAATAAACTTTCATTCAGTCATGAATTAAACATAAACCCTCTACATTTAAGGCAGTACTGTGTACTACAGGGCTCACAGAAGCAGAAGCCTGCCTTTGAGAAGTTTCCAGTCTCACATGGGAGAAAATGAAGGGTTCTGGAATAAACAAACAAAATGACAAAATTGCAACAACAACAAAATTATCAATCTCTTTCTTTTTTTCTTCCATTACAATCAAACTCAAATAAATGTCCTGGCTCTTACATTATATTCCTTCTTCAACCACTGAGGTCTGGCTTCCACTTCCTTCTCTTCACCAGCATGGCTTTGCTACAGGAAGCCAGTGATCTCTAGACCATCAAGAGAATCCACAGGATTCATTTTGATTGATCTCTCTATGTACAACACTTACTGAGGTTGTTAAGCCCTCTTTACAACTTTTTTCTTCCTGAGTTTTTATGGTGCTGCTCTCTCTTCTGATTCTCTAACCTGACAATGCAAACTTAATTTTTCTATATGTTATTTCACCAACCAGTTAATACATAGAAATAACATGACTGTATAAACTATATTTGTATACCATGGATTTTGGATACCTCTCATATGTAATCAGTTTATTAAACCATGTCATTTTATTTTTTAACTTCTCTCAGATTTTCAGTGTATAGAATTTTGTTTGCAAGTAATGAAGACTTTATCTCCAATTTTCAATAATCACACTTTTATTTCTGTTTCATGTCTCATTGCATTGGCAAGACCTTGAAGAATAATTTTAAAACAATGGTGGATATTTTCTATATTTAATGAATGTGTCTAGTGTTTCATATATTATTGCTAATATAACACTATTCAACCAAGGTATGTTAAGACTATTTGTCTGTCAAACCATTAGTAATTATTTATATTGTTCCTTTCCAGCTACATTTGTAGGATATGTAGGAATTTCCAGGCAGAAAGTATAACCATACAGTTTTAATAGAAGAGCTATTATCACTGCTGACATAAATCAAAGCATACATGAGTCTTATTTGCTTAAGGTTCAATTTCCATCTGTTATCAGCAGGAAGATGGGACAGAATATATCTTACATGGCACCATGAGTAAATATAAACTAGTATTTCTTTTTAAAGTATGAATGAAATACCATCCACAAGGGAGCTACTCAAACTAAGTAAAAACATATACAGTAAGTATTTCCTTATTAGGAAGGTGATCAAAAGCCCCTTAGGAGTATTCTGCTTCTCTTAAAGCATAATAGCAATTGTTTCACATTAGGTTGCAGCCAGTACATCACCCTACAGGGTCACCAGAGGTCAGTGCTATAGTTCTCTCCAGTATGGGATGGTTAGCCCACGTGTTCTATGACCACAAACTAACTGCACTCCAAATCCAATCGTCAATCTGCAGAACGCACACTTTTAGTTTAACAGTTCCAACGCATCAATTGGAGGACCAGTGTCGGCTGCATCAGAATCACCTAGGTGTTTGTAACAAATACAGAATCCTGAGCACAGTGACATTGCTACTGACTCATAATCTCCAGGGTCAGCGCCCAGGAATCTTAATCTTTTGAAAAAGCTCCCCAAGTATTTCTGATATGCAGTCACATATGGAAACAACACTTTAGCTAAAAGAAAGAAGTTGCTGAGCAGAGGGGTGGATATAACACCTTCATAGAAGATACTGGGAAAATATCTTGAGGTACAGAATTAGGGATAAGCAACTATGTGAAATATAGCACACATCATCACTATAACTAAAAAAAAAAGTCCTCAACATTTTCAAAGGTATGAATTCCTAAATCAGGTCAAATTTGTGTACTCAGAATGTTCTCCTAAAAAATGTAACTAGGTGAGGAAATAGGATATCCTGTATAACCTCTCAGCAATTCAGAAAGCACTGAAGGCTCTGAGAAGTCCTACGGGCAACTTCTTAAATTTAACTTAATAATTCTCAAACTTACTTGGGCACAGAATATTTCCCCGCAAGAAAAATCTATTAAGGTCCTGTAGAATAATATTCTCAGGCATACCACCTGAGAAATACAGTTCTGAAACAATTTCATTGTCAAATATTATATTTCATGGCAAAATTTTTCCCTATGAATTGATACATTCCAAAATTTAGGCCTCCTCTCTGACATTAAAATCTTTTCAAGAAATTATAAGCTATGATTAAATGTAACTTGTTTAAATTCAAACCCTTAAATATTAATCTCAGTATAATTATTCAAATCTATACTTCAAATTGAGTTACTCATATAATTTTCCATTTCTAATTAAACTAATTAAAGGGGGATAATTCTACTGATGTAATTTCTAGAATTTAAAAAATAAACTAGGGAAAAATATCTTCTGATTTTTGGGATGTTTCCAGAGCCTCATTAAAATAATTTTAAAATTTCATGGATATGATTTTTATTTACTAGTTTGTTTATGGTTCAGATAGTGCAGTATTAAAAAAAAAAAGACTAGAAGAGGATTATTGAAGAAAATTTTATAAAAGCAGAGTCTTTAAGAAGCGGTGCTGCTTCATTGCTCCTTTTTCTGCTTTGAGGATAGCAAACTAGAAAAGCCCTGAAAGAGAGATAGTATTAAGATTTTACTTTACCCAGGCCTGCATTAAAGCTGATTAAAAGGTTCCACAGAAATAGCAAAATACCCATATCTCTAATGTGCTTCGGTATAAGATTTAATCTTAAATTGGAGAGTCCTGGGGGAAAGAATTCGACTAAATTTAAACTAATTTTAATCATAGAATTTAGCCTCTGAGCCATTGGCTACTTATTCTGTATCCTAAGCTAAATCCCAACTCAGTCCCAGGAGGGCACATTTCCTACTCCAGGGCAGCCCTTGTCTGTTCAACCATCTTGGGATAGATTATTTATGAAGAACAAACCATGTTATAGTACCATATTTCCCAGACAACAACAAAACAGCTTAGATACTGATCAAACCCCATCCTGCCATCTTTACAAACACCCAACTTACAAATAAAATGTTAAGCTATAAGATTTCCCCACTTGAATTTTAAACCCACATTATTGTAAATTCCTTACTTTCTGACAAGCCCCATTGGTTACAAAGTTACTTCATTTCTTTTAAGAATCAGGAAGCTACCACCTAGTATGGACATTCAATATTGATTTTCATTTTTTAGAAATTATTGGATGTAGGCTTTAAAACTGGGTCACCCTGGAATAAAAGTATGGGCTTTAGTTCATTATAATGTATCAATGCTGGTTCATTACAAATGTTCCACACTCATGTAAGAGGTTAACAACAGGGAAAGTGGGTACCTGTGGGCTACAGAGGAACTCTGTGCTATCTTTGTAACTCCTGTATATCTAAACGTATTCTAAAGTTAAAAAGTTTATTAAAAAAAACCCTAGGTCACCAGAAACTTCCTACCCATACAATATGTATAGTCTCACTTTGAATGCAGGCAAAGGAGGATTCTCAATTCTGAGACTGTCGCCCTAAAAAAAGTGAACAGGTGGTTAATTTCATAAGAAAATTACTATAATGCAAGCAAGTCTAATAGGCATATTTACACAGTCAATAAGGTATCTCTATTACCTAACAAAACTAAGGCAAACATTATCTTGAAAAACTGGATTGCAGACAGCCCTATCTTTTAATTTAATCACTACACATTAATGAAACTCAAGTTATACACACAGCACTGTAGTATTTACTTGGTGAAAAGCAGAACACAAAAGCAATAGAAGATGTGCCCCTATACTCATGAATTCACCATCTAGTTAGGGATATAACAGGGCCAAGGTGCTTAAGATGATGACGTTGTCCCTGCTTGCCAAGAGCACACAGACTCCAATGGGCATTTCTTATGAAAAGACATAACAGATGACAGCATTAGGTATATGAATACTGTAGCTAAGATCATTTTGGAAAAAAAGGACATGGTCTTTTAATGAATGGTATCCTAAAAGTGATACCAAAATGCCTTTGGTAAAATTAGTTGGCTTGCTGTTGTTCACTTATTCATTCATTCATTCAGCATACATGCATTAAACACCTACTATGTGTCACGTGTTGTTGTGAGTGCTGAGTACACAGCAATGAACAAAACAAATATTCCACTCTAATGGAGACAGACAATATAGCGTAGATGGTGACATGTACTATGAAGAAAAATAAACCCAGAGTAGGTGAGAGAGTTGATGAAGATAATGTGGTAGTGTGGACTGCTATGTCATACACAGTAACCCGGGGAAGCATCTCTGACAAGTTGATGTTTTAGCAGATACCAGAACTAAGAGAGGGATGTAATTTATTCCCTCCCTCCCTTCCTCCTTTCCTTCCTTATTTCCTTTCATTCATCCATCCATCCCAGGGAAGAGCTTTCCAAGTAGAGGGACAGTAAATGC